TCGTGCTGTTCCTTGGGATGCCCATACCGTGACCGTGGCCTTGGGAGACGATACCAGGGTCTACAGCCATTCCAGATCTCAGGGCATGGCCAATCGGCCCCCAAACGGAAGACTCTATGACGTTGGGGTGACCAAGAGAAGCCACGTTAGCCTACGACTCCTGTCATAAGCTCCGGCCCGGGGATTCCGTTGTGCTGAAATAGTATCCACTGGGTGGCCTGCGCTCTCTTTCATTGGACTTCGCACCGTCCGCGACTACGGTTGAACATCATTCAAATTTTGGGCTTCAAGGTACACCCCCGATAGGGGTTCGGGTTGACGTGAAAATTTAGTATACGCGGTGCGGTATGATCACTACCAGCTACATGGAGCAGGGTATCAGCGGTCAGTGTGATGTCGAGGCGAAAAAGCAAAGATTGGATCATAGCTTGCATCAAAGCTTGGGGTTGGGGTAATGTATCTCATGGACCAGCTGGTTGGGTTCCTATAAGAAGCGGACTATCCTTCGATTCTTTCAAAACAATCTACAGCGACCAATGCTTCTCAAGAGTCATATATTCAGCACCTTTGCAGACATTTGTATCCATATCATACATATCACAACCTCGCTCACCATGCTGACCCTGTGCAACCACTCCTCGAAGCACATAGAGGAGGGCGCTATTCCAGCCCGAAAACTCACCTCTACCCTTTCCAAACATTCGTTATGGACGCCTATCTCTGTATCCTCCTCTCCATCCTGCGTTACCACATTCCCGGTGGCACGACACCGTGCCGAGGCCCAAATAGAAGAAGGAGCCCTTGCCGCACGAAAAGCGTGGCTGGACCTTATGCCAGGGCAGGATCTTCGAACCCACTCTGCCGGGCCAGATGGTAATTTCTTTGCCCTGTGCTGGCCATATGGTAAAATGGAACGTGTCAAGCTAGCCACCGAGATTATCGAAACACTTTGGCTTTACGACGGTGAGTTTTCTAACTACACCCCCCCATTCACAAGGTGGATGATCATATGGCAGACTTTCTAACATCTCACTGGGTAGACCTCATTGAAGATGTACCTCACAGCGAAGCATTGCAGACTCACGCTAGTTTGCGAGATTCCATGTCCTTCGGATCGGCGAAAGAGGCAGAGAAACCCAGTCGCAAAACCGTTATCGCCGGTCTTTTCAAACAATTCGGCGATCGGATGTCAAAGCTAGACCCAAAAGGTACACCACGTGTGATTGATGCGTTGAAGTCATACCTGGTCAACTACGACAGTCAAAAGGGCGGTGAGCTTCCGAACATCGCAGAGTATACTGAGTACAGGATCCTCAACGTCGGGTTTTGGTATGTCTAGTCTATACTGTCTATACTATATTACGAAAATTGCCCGGAATGCTAACGTATCATCTAGGATTATGGAGAGCTTCATGTTATGGACGATGGGTATCACACTCGACAAAGCCGAACAAGAAATGTGTCACGAGTTTGCACTTTCCGCAGGTCGTGCCATGGGACTCACCAACGATCTCTATTCATGGAACGTGGAAAGGAACGATCGTGGTGAGCGTCAGTGGAACGCTGTTCCGGTGATTATGGAATCCTGCCGCTTAAGTGAGAATGACGCAATTGTATTCGTCAAAGGTCTCGTAATTCATCACGAGCAAGAAACCAGGCGGTTAGGGCTAGAGTTGCAAAAGCGCTCCGGTAACTCGCACAAAATCCAAAGGTACATCAAGGCCACAGGATTCATGCTTGGGGGTAACTGCTATTGGAGCTCCAGTTGCCCCAGGTATAATCCAGCGGTGAACGAAAAGGATATTGACTCCAGCTCCTCGTCTTCCAGCATTTGAAAGAAAAACCCACCGGTGTGCCACGTCATCGCACGCTAACTTGGGCTGTTTCATCTTCCAACTTTCTTTTCAACTTTGCTTCAAGAAGAGGGGCCGGCCTCTTGTCCTTTTTACTAAACCCTTTTGCCATTGGTGGTATCTAATATAATCGAGGAATTATGATAATTAGAATTGGTGGGCAACCACAAGGAGAAAATAATGGAGAATTACCTTAGCTTATTTCTAATCAACCCTGCTTTGTCTAATTATCGCTGCACCAATCGTTGATTTTCTTGTCCGAGGCGGAACTCTCCCCTATCCCTGTCCCGAAATTACAGACAATTAACACCCACGTCGAGCTTTTTTTAGCTTGAAATTTGCTTACCTTGCCTAGTTAGCTGTCTAAGGGCCATGCATCTATATAGACGACAATGGCACACCACCTTGAATGTTTTCACCTTTCGTTCCATTGCCACAGTGAAATCCAATGTATGATATTGGTCTACTTTTGAAGGGCGAAATAGAGAACCACCGAGCGTACATCATGGTCAACTGGATCTCAGAAAACATCTCACTTATAGACAACCGCTTCTGGGAACTTTCACCATGGAATCATAAGGTGGAATATTGGATTCATTTTTCTGTTACCTGTCTATTCACCACAACAATCTTTCATATCCCCTCATAATCAAGAACGGTTACCACGGCCTCGCGGTGCCCTACCACTGCGAGCCCTCGGGGGGTCTGGGACAACAACCAAACCTCGGGTACCTTTCAGACCCATTTTCCCAACTGTTGACTTCGCAATGGGCGGCGTCTCAGGGCATGCCAGGCCATCATGGGCAAACGTATTACCTTGAGCCACCAACTCTTCATTGGTCCATTTGAAACCCTTAAGGTGGTTCTTGTAATATCCTAGCCATGCCTGATAAATCCTTGCTCTGTCGGTTTCATCCATGACCGTAGCGATTGCTTCAACTTCTGCCAATGCAGATACATCAGCAGGGTGTGGGATAAAAGAAATCTCCTTCAGTGTCCATCTTGGGAACCAGGACTCTGCCTCGGTGACGATGAAGATTCCTCGCCCTTCCGCTCCAGCGCGTGCTGTACGTCCCAAACGATGAATGTAACTTTCCTTGTCGGAAGGAATGCCGACTTGGACGACAGTAGTGACACCTGGGAAATCCATCCCTCGTGCAATAACATCCGTGGCGACCAAGATGGCTGACTTCGCATCGCGGTACTCATTTGTGATCTTGGTGCGCTTGCTCTGAGAAATCCGGCTATGGAGAGTTGAGACGGGTGGCATATCGGACAACTGAGACACTATGTGCCCATAAAAGTCCGCCAAGTGAGCAGTGGGAGCAAAGATGATGACTTTGAAGTCTTGGTGTTGCTTGGCTTCTTCACGAATGCAGCCAACCACAGCCGCGCCAACGCTGCTGAATGTATCAACCTTGACAAGAAGTTGCGGAACACGTTGATGTGTGTTGGTCTCGCCGGCAGGGACGGTTGAGATGAACTTGTACCCGGGAGAAAGGACGAGATCAGCAGCTTGGTGGACGTGCTGGGCAATTGTGGCTGAAAACAGCATACCCTGCCTGTTGACCTCCTTCCTGTTAGGAAGCTTGCCGACAATCTCCCTGAGAGCCTTGGAGAATCCCATGTCGAGCAGTCGATCGGCCTCGTCGAGTACGAGTGTTTCGAGACTACGAAACGAGTACAAAATATCCTCATTGGCCATGTGATCGAGAAGACGACCAGGAGTAGCAACAAGCACATTACAGCTTTGAAGGATTCGTCTCTCTTCCTGGTCTTTGTTCGTGCCTCCAATGGCAAGACGAACATGGAAGTTAGGAAACCGCTGGAGAAGATTCGTGGCCTCTTGTGCAATTTGCATTGCAAGCTCTCGAGTCGGTGAGATGACCAACAAAGACACAACGGGCGAGCCTCTCTCAGCCTGGTTTCGGTGGTTCGTGATGAGAGTCTGTACCGCCGGGAGCAGGAATGCAAGGGTCTTTCCAGTTCCCGTCTTTGCCTGAACGAGACAGTCACTGCGGCTTGGGGGAAGGAGATCGTGAAGCGTAGCAGCCTGAACGGGCGTCATATGAGAGAACTTGAGATCATTCGTAATGGTTTCGATCAAAGTAGGATGAACAAGGTTGGATCCTTTGAGGTCAGAAAATTTGGCATCATCCAAGGGCACAGTAGCTTCCGGCGTTGCGCCAGTCATCACAGTATCCTCCTCCTGCCTGACCTGAGGAGGCGCAGCTGCGGTGGTTTGCGACGAAGCAGCATCGGTGCGATGTTCATCAGTGCGAGCTCTTCGAGGCCGGGTGTTGTTCTTGCCACGAAATCCCCGCCGCCGGTGATGGTTGGAATGTCTTGGCTGGTCCATGGCAATAACGATCGCAGCAGGGGTTTTGCTGCAGGTTTGGTAATAATTGTGTATCTGGTAAAAAAAGTTTGGGTTGCTGAAACGCGCTTCCATATTGGGTAAGGCTGCGCTGGCGCGGTGTCACGTGCTATTCAACGTTTCTAACGCTTGACTGTTACTGGCAGAAACGGCTCCAACCAGCCGCTTGTGGCTACCCTAGACAAGCGACTTCAGACTTCTCATTACATCTTTTTGTACGTATCGACTCTATGTATACCTGTATATACCTAGGTACATACAGCTTTATGAATGAAACAATTCCAATATTTTAAGTAAAACTTCAACATTGTTTGGTAGTGAGAGCAGTGATTATCAGTTCTTCCACAATGATGTCACCCCGTGGCTTCACTGTGATAACGGGCAGATCAACGCTTGATCTTTACTGTTTTTGAGCGGCCAGTCACCGTCAGTAGACCAGGCTTTCCGTGGAAGCAGATCACTGCATGATGTATGGAACGTGAGTTACAGAATTACAGCTGATTCCTTTGAAATTCCCCCTGCTGTCTTCCGGCACACAAATCACATCAGCCACAATGCGCTTAGCCACAGCGCCTCATCATTTGTGGAGTTTTGAAATCTGGGCCAATTAAAGGCCTGAGTCAAATTCTAATTTGTCCTAGCGCCGTACGATTATTCCTTCTTCAGGAATAGCGTGTCGGACAGCATCTCGCTCAGTTGATGCCTCAAAAGGACTAAGCAGTCTTCCATTCCTGTTGTTTTCAAGATCCAAGCAGAATGCAAGAGCAAAAATGCCCATCGGACCTAATGACAGCCGCAAGAAAACGTTTCGGTGCGAGACGTGTGCTCTGAAGCATGTGAAGGTGAGACCCTGACCCAGGGAATTCTTGGCCCGGGGTGTTGAACCAGCTGACCTGATTTCACTCTCCACACACAGTGTTCAGGGACGGTACCATGTTCGTATTGCCAGAAACGAGGCTTCAACTGCGTGTATCCCGCCCCGCAGAAAAAACATTTCAATATCATAATCGACCAGGGGTCTCGCAAGGTGATCACTGGCAGTCACAGTCTTGTTCCGAGGAAACGGTTGATTGATTCACCAAGGGCCGACCCCCAGTTCGATCCCAATGCCCACTTTCTTCTGTACTGGGATAGATTTCTTCAGAAGAATGCCTTTAGCCAGCAAGGGATTTTGTCCTTTGATATTAAGCAAATGGTGCAGTCCTCATCATCAGAGATCTTCCTCAGGCAGTCTGTCTTGGCTTTGGGCGCACTCACGGCGACTAAACTGAACCCCCACCACCAGCTTGCTAATTATCGTCTGGCCCTCACATTTTACAATGAAGCCGTCATTGGTCTACGAAATGCGATCGAGTGTCAAACTCAAAGCCCAGAACCACAATTGGCGGTATTGTGGACAACCATGCTTTTGGGACTGTTTGAGGTGAATCTTGCTTCTACAACCTTCCATGTTCCGTGGAAGATGATGCTAATATGGTCGCAAGCTCATGGTCGATCCGTCAGGGCAACGCTGGGTGCAGCATCTTGTTCACGGAACGTCAAAGGCTCTAGTTGCCATCGGGCCACATGCATGTGTAGGCTCGCTGCCGCAAAGGTTTTTCATGGAAATTAAAATATTCGAGGTCTGCAGAGCCATTGTTTTCAATGATTCCAGTTTCTTAATGCAAGGCGAGTGGATTGCTTTCTCAAAGAGGGTCCAGTCCACGATCGATCCTAGCAATCTACATCCCTTTGATGATCTACTTGACATAATTCTGCGCTGCGCATCGCTGCGTTCCCGGTGGGTCTCCCAATGGTCCGAAATACATACGAAAGATATTCTAATAAGTTCCAGGGTCGCTGAATATATACATGTCAAGCAGTTTCGCTCATCAAACGGAGGTTCGCAGCAGGACGAAGCGCGCGATATTGCTATTGAGGGCCTTCTACTGCGCGATGCTCTAAATGTGTGGCAGACTGAGAGCATGCTTGAATATATGAGCAATGGCCGCCAGAATCGAAGCTCAACCTTCGATGACTTTGATCTCCTGGCATCTATTTTTCAAGCTGCCACAAGCATCTATCTCTCTGGGGTCTTTGACTACGAGATTAATTACTGGGTTGATCTGGGAGCTTTGCTTCCAACCTTGACCGAGGACGATATCCAAGCTCACGTACGCTGCATTCTAGAATTGAGCCAGATCGTGCTTGAAAGATCAAGAATCTCTGCTGTCCTCCTTTTATTCCCGCTCCGGGTTGCAGGGGCACGTTCAAGAAGGACTTCGCAAAGGGAGACGGTTTTAACGTTGCTCGGGAGGATAGAGACTACGTTTTCTGCGGCTGGAGCCTTTAGAGGAGATTTGGCACGTTTGTGGACGAACATGGAGCAAGATGATGATGAACTTGAACAACAATAGATCGAGAGGGATAAAAGATTATTAATATATGTGCATTGTAGTTTTTCGTGGCTCGTGATTGTGGTTTCAATAAAGGCCCGCTTCCCGATGGTGCCTGTAGAAGGGGCAATGCTGGGTTGGGCTCTAATTCATTCATATACACAGACTTGGCGTCTCGGTCTCTAGCTCGCTAACTTCATCCGAAAATCCGAAACAATACGGTTTGTTGACCAGGATCTCCTTCATAAGACCACCGACTCCGAGGTTATCAACCCCTCCCCTCATAGTAACCATACGCGAGATGGCAACAAAGTGCGTGTTCCACCCGTCGAAATTACCACGCTCAATCTATCAAAAAAACATGTTAGAAGATTGGATGTACACATTCTATATCTAGTCTATAGTAGAAGCACGAACCTCCTCGGATGCTAATATCATTACTTTACTGATGGTCGCATCGCTGGTCTGTGTGACTGCTTTGGATAAGGAGGCGTTTGTGGACCGGATGCATTGAAGTCGATACCCAGTCGACAGATCCTCATAAGCCCTTGTTGTAGCTAATGATGCAAGGCTGCGGCAAGATTGTAAGAACATGGCGGCAAGAAGACCCACGTCTGTCATAGCAAAGGGAACCCAGTGGTTCATCTGCATGGCGACGAGGTTTGAGTTCTTCTTCCTGTGACAGCTGCCCATAATAAAAGGGATAAAAAAGCTGACGTCTTTTTAGGTAGCAACATTAGTTGGCGAGCAGCATGTACCAACAAGGATGGGCGTACAGTGATCAAACAAGAAGTACTCAATATCGGAAAAGGCCCGGACTGAACCCCAGCATGCCGCGACACGGGAAAGTCTTGCAGACTGATATGGGTCGTAGGACTCTATGGTAGGGAGATCAATTGCGTTTGAGTCAATAGACTCTTTATCCCTATCGATTTTAGGAGCAAGGCATGCTTGTTCGTTGAGGCCTTGTTTGTCATGCGTGCTCTCATCTATCTTTGTACGGGGCCTGATTTTCCTTCGGGGACCGGAGACCGGGTTTTTGATTGATCTACGCGCGCGAGAACGCGTGTCTTTGGCTGCGTGCGATCGTATCTGACGTAGGGTATCTGAAGTGGTCGCGTCCTGCGGATGGCTTGTGTTAATGAAGTGCAGACCAACGAGGAACCCCGTCGACTCCATCAGGTTCCCACCCTGCTTTAATGCGCTCGGCAGTGGACAGCGTTGAAATAATGGCTTGGCCAGTTCAATGTTGAGACATTTTCCCAAAGTAGAATGTGTTGATGCAGAAAATGACAACGAGAGCTAAATGATTCAAGAATCAAGATCGATCTGGGGCTACAATCTCACAAGTCAGCAGATTTGTCATGGTGCAATACCTGGAACACATTCCTAGAACAGACTAGTTTCAGGCCATCTTCCTGTTTTATGTGGGTTCTATTATCATCCTTGAGCAAATTCCTAATCGGGATAAGAGGGAAGAGCAGCACGATACGGATGTTGGTATGGCGATACTTGCTCAAGAAGTATTAAATGGCGGCTTGAACTCAGCCAATAATGTAAATTCGAACCAAGTCATTGAAAAGTTCCTTCCAGCAACCACACTTTTGTTTTCACTATGGCAAAGACCCTGCAGATTCAACCAAACGTTGGGACTGGTCTCCGCCTCTTTCTACACTCGCAGCTCTTCGTAACACCTCCCTCTCCCGAGGTTTCCTTCTCTGGGAAGACGGTCATAGTCACTGGTTCGAATGTTGGGCTAGGGCTTGAGGCTGCTCGCCATTTTTACAGGCTCAATGCGTCTAAACTGATCCTTGCGGTCCGGACTGTTTCCAAAGGTGAAGCAGCAAAGGAGGATATCCTCAAAAGCGTTGGGAGTCGAAGTGATGCCGAATCCATCGAAGTCTGGCCACTAGACCAGGCGAGCAACCAGTCGACTATTGACTTTATGGAGCGGGTTCTGGCGGAGCTGCCACGCCTCGACGCCGTCGTGTTGAACGCAGGTATCAACACCAAGATTTTCAAGGTCGTCGAGGGCCACGAGCAGACCACACAAGTAAATGTGCTGAATACATTCCTCCTGGTGCTGGGGCTGTTACCAAAGCTCCGCCAAACGAGGACTGAATTTCCGGACTCGACACCGCATTTAACCGTCGTGAGCTCAGAGGCCCACCGCCTTACCAACTTCCCAGAAATCAACGCCTCTGACCTTTATGAAAGGCTGAACGAAGAAGAATCGTACAATGGGCAGAAAAGATACGAAGTGACAAAGCTCATGGAGATTCTGCTGGTTCGCGAACTTGTGGCAGGGCTGAAGTCGGACCCCAGTTTCAACGCTCACCCAGTTATCATCAATGTGGCCAACCCAGGCCTCTGTTACAGCACTCTCAGCCGTGAGAGTAGCGGATTTGGGCTTCGCCTAATGTACAAACTTCTAGGACGGACGAGCGAAGTGGGTGGTCGGTGCTTGGTACTGGCTGCGTCCGCGCCAGAGAACTCGCTCGGGGAGTTCCAGAGCGATGGGAAAAACCAAAACGTGGAGGATTGGATTTATACTGACTTGGGAAATGAAGTCCAGAAGAGGGTATGGTCGCAAACTGTACCGATCTTGGAGGCTAGGAAGCCAGGAATTCTGAAGGCCGCAGGGCTCTGAACGGCCAAGGCTTGGCTTGGATGCACGAGATATTCCTTGGAGGGAGGTGTGGCAAGTGGTTTTTGAATGTATCTACTTATTTACTCTGATGTATCATTACTGGAATGAGTAACGTGGATTAATAATACATGGTTTCGGAAATTGTACCTCACTATTATCTGTCTCTATGGTCTCTCTCTCTCAAGAATAAGAATACAGTCGGAGAAAGATAGCAAAAACATAAATTTTGTCCCAAAGTCTCAGGCACCAGATTCTGCCATAAATATAAACGAAAGAGAGCTACCTTAATGAGCTACGACATTTTGAGGCCATCCTCGAAATTTACTGACGATATTCGCCAGCGTATAGCAAGTCGCCCGGCTCGCCATTCATTCGCTTCCACACAGCACGAAGATCTTCGTCGTTGAAATCTCTCTCTGCCAGTGTCTGGTTGCCCTTATAAGCTTCAAGTTCAGCAAGTGCATTCTCGCGCTCAAGTTGCACTAAGACCCTGTTAGTTTCCATGATTCTAAAACTGTATTTTACGCATATTTCTCACCATGAAGATAAACAGCAGTGCGCTTGCCCGTGAAGAGAGCATGCGGGATGTTGGTTACGTTATCCGCATTGGCGTCCCCAATTGCGTAGACACCGGGAATGTTTGTCACCAGGCCCTTGGAATTGTCAGCGGCCAGTCGTCCGCCATCCAACCGAACACCTAGGTCGAGGCCAACCGAGCTCGCTTGCTCATCATCGTAGTTGGTAAGGAATGCATCTCGCTCGACCTTCTCTCCATCGGCCAGATGCACACGGAACTTATCATGCTCTGGGTAGGTGGGCAGGCTAGGGTCACCAAGAGTAGCGTTCTGTAGACGCTCGAGGCGTTCAATGGTGCTGTTGTAAACCTTCACATTCTTGAGCTCAAGATACTTCTCCCAGTCCGGGAAGTTCTTCTCAGCCAGGGCGCGCGACTCTGGAGTGTCTGTGCCGTTCACAAAGGCAGCAACATCCTTATTGAGGGTTGCAACCTCCCGGACCAAACCAGCCACTGACTCCAAGCTGGAGAGAAGACCCAGTCCCTGGTCCGCATGTTCATGGCCATCGCACCATGGGCACCAGAAAATGCCCTTGCCCCAATTTTCGCGAATGCCAGGGGTTTCTGGCAAAAGGTCACGCAGACCCGTTCCAAGAACAATCTTCCGGGCCGTAACAGGTTCCCGGTTATCCGTGATCACGCGGAAGTAGGTATTATTCTCTTGGGGCTCAATCTTGGTCACAGTGCCGTTGGTCAATTCGACAGTGTTGTAGTAAGCGAGCTGCTCTCGCGCAAGCCAGCGATAATATGCGGGGGTTAGACCTGTAACCCTTCGTTAGAGACGGCTCTTTCCTTTAATTTCTCAATCCTAGCTCTTTACTAGGCAGGTATGGGAGCTCATACCATCAAGACCGATAAGGTCATGTAAATGCCGGGTTGGTCCGTTACGATAGACTCCAGAATCAATGAGGAGGACATTTCTTCTCACACGTGCCAAGCCGCTGAGCGCACTGAGACCAGAGGGGCCACCGCCCACAATGATTGCGTCGAAGTCGGTTTTGGGGACCTCAGAATTTTGACGACTGCTAATAGTAGCTCCGAGTGTTTGCGAGACGAGGGCTAGAATAGCCGGAGCCAGTGTATAGCGCATAATGACTCAGGAGGGCAGTCGAGAAACAGATTTCTTTTTTCGGTGGGCACTCTGGTGGAGTTGAACGGAGAACTTCTCAGAATTGTTCCTAAGAAAGATTCTGGAGGAGGACGGACTACACTCGGCAAGTTTGGGAATACCTGCCAGACCTTATATGCTTCACACAGCGGAGACTATATGATGATCTTTATCCCGAAACTGAGAATTCGGCATTGAGGAGGATCCGCCACTGCAACCTTGTAGGTGGCTGCACATCTATTCACTTTCCCGATTGGAGAGAGTCAATGGCGGCATTCAATTAACAAATGTCGAAAATCCGGCTGCAACCGAGGAAGAAGGGGTATCTGAGTAAGGAAAACATCCTTCAGTTATTGAGATGCATTCGATCTTCCCATTTAGGTAGGTCTATCTGCAAAGCCGTGGGGTTTAATTATACTGACAGGAGCGTAATTAAGATAGGCTCAGGCTGGTTCCTATTCCGATGGTGATTGGACCTATTCTTGGGCATTTCAAGCGGGCCCCTGGGATGATGCCATAGCCGGGGTCAGATTTGCTGCTACGGATGAAAATTCTTTGATACATGGCTGAAGCACGCAAATATCTAAACCAAACTGCGTAGACTATTTTCATATTCTGCCGACCAAGTTTGTACTCTAAATCAACACGATCACAGTATGAAAGTGATATATGTTGGGCACGCATTTCATCCTGACTTGTCCTCATGGCAAGCCGAGTATGAGAGGGGAGGGGAGTGAGGATCAAGACCCCAGGCCCATTAGTCATACTTACGACAAAATACTACATTGTTTGAGAAAAACAGTTTCAGGATCTATTAGTTTTGAATTTCGCAATATACGAAGTATACCCTCTGTATTTATCTGAAGTTGACATCCTGGGACTATCAGGGGCGTGTAATTTTCAACGCATCTTGCTAATGACATCGCTCAAGTATCTGACAAGGAGGTGATATTTTGACTTCGCTACACAAGGGCGGTACGCTCTGGCCCATCAATATAGATAGGCCCAATGAAGTGTGATCAAATCACCCTGCCGAGTCACGGGAGGGGCCGAGAGACTAAATATGTACCGATCTGCTTAAAATAGCAGCAGCCACGGTTATGAAAAGAAAACCAAGGAATTAAGATGAGTGTCCAGTTCCTCAAGTGCCTGTACCAAGCATTTCTCCTTGACCACAGATATCGCTTTCCCCCTCTTTTTTCAAACTGATGGAGTAGTCTCCCTTGGAAGTTGTGATGCCAGATTGCACGGTCGCAATGCCACAACTTCATTCGCATTCCTGCGCATCAAATTTCCGATTTTTGATTAAGACTAAGGCGGTAGACTCCGCCATCTCGTAAAAATCTGCCCAAGTAGCCGACAGCGGTGTTGGCGCCATACCCCAGGTTGGTGCCATGAAGTCACCATGAAGTCACCGTGTTGTCTCCGAATATTCGCTCGGACTAGATAGCTTAGCTTACCGTCCGATACCGTTTTGCTACCGTCTCTCGATTGTCCACTAGTGTTGTCGTAGGAGGTAAACCTCACGTCCTACAGCTCCAATGTCGGAGCTTGAGTGAACACGAGACAGGCCTCTACAATTCTGAGCTGTTAAGATACTTAATATCTGCATACAAGCGCTCAACGCCTTTAAAGACGGTCACTGACATCGCATGACCACCTGACATGGCGCTATACATCGTAAAAGCTGAGTGGCAAACCAGATCAAGGGTCATCTGGATCTTGGCTCAAGAGCCCCTGGAAGAACAAGCAGCCGTGAAGAAGATGGGCAGACTGTGGCTTCCCAGGTGAAGCCCGAGGTTGCTTATTCTTCGGAGGCGACGATTTCTTATCCGGACCGCCGATCATCAGTACTTGTATGGGCATGATGTCTGCACCACCAGTCAATTGCTTTGCGGTCCGCAGCACCCGCTCGATCAACAAAGTGCGGTTGTTCTTTAGCCTCGAGAGGTAGGTGTCGTAACGCGCGGCAACATCCGCGACAAGATCCCTCTCGGTGGCATCCGCCGCTTCATAGCTGAGGCAGAAGGCGCAGGAGATGATCTGCGCATCCGTGAGTCCCAGCTTGTCTAAATACGGGATGCACATCCAAAGCTCAACGGAGGCATCCCGGTATCTTTGCAACACGTCATCCACTTCTGGGGGGTCACAAAGTGAGGTGAGTCCAAGTAGCATTCTGGGTGCGATGATTTCGAGAATGAAAATCCCAAGAACAGCTTGTGCTATGTCGACTGACTCAAAGTGATATCTTTTTTTGACAAAGGACTCGGGATCGGGTAATACTTGGATCAATCCCATCTCCTTGAGCTGATTTTTAATCTGGGAAGCTGTTTTGGACGCGATGGCGTTTAGATCGTAAAGTCGTCGACGGACATCGGCTGCTTCGAGCGATACTGTCTTCTTGGATTCTGGATTTTCATGGATGGAGTTGAGAGCGGGTATAGTGTTCAGCAAGTCGACGAAAACTTCTCGAATTACGTCTTGTCCCGGAATGGCCAACGATTCCGCCGTGGGCTCTGGGCCGTCAACATCGGGTGATTCTGGCTCTACCTCAGAATGATGTGTGTCATCATCATCCCCATGAGAATGCCAGCAGAACTAGAAGAAACAGAGTCAATTCACGTATTATGGACACAAAATATGAAGACAAGCGGGTAAGATGAGGAGAACCTACTAGGTTCGAGCACAACTCAATGGCCAGCGAGACATCAAGATCGTCATCCAAATTAGGAGGGCCTCTCTGCATGACCAAAGCTGAGATACCCTTGGCATGTGCAATCGAGTCAGACTTGACCGTTTTATGGAAAGGCAGGGTAGTTCGCTGGAGCAGGACCGCCGCCGCTAGAGTTTCAGTCCGATAGGCATTTTTGCCTTCCAGGGTGCTCTGGAGGCTCTGGAGCGCCTTGCTGTAGTAATGCAAGGTGGCGACGCTGGGCTTTGGGAGTTTTCGACGGGTGTCTAGTTGTAAATGGCACCAGAATGCTACGCTATCAGAAAGGCATTGGCTGAGGTGCAGGCGTTGAGGGATGAAGGACAGCACGTCCAGCTGGGCGAGGTCACCCTGGTAGGTGCCATCATGTAAAACAGCATTGAGATAAGATGCAAGCTGGTCAGGGCGAGTCATGGGATGGGAACGGAGAGCGCCGAGGCAACGTGATTGCTGGCATCTCGATGTTGTGAGAGGGCCGCCTTCGGATGGATGGTTTGAAGGTAGGCTGAGTTTGTTGGCTTGAGCCTTGGCTTTGGCCGTCGCGCGATGGCCATCACGAATGACCAGCCCTCTCTTGCTGCCATGGCTCGCTGATCCTGGCGCAGCATCTCGAGGAGCGATGTACGAGTCATTGACAAGTGGTGTTGGGCCCGGACACTGGCGTTTGGAGCGCCGGCAAGGCGTGCAGCTAGGCCAATTCTCGTCACACTGTGGTGCAACCATCCAGTCAGGGTCGCGTTCTTCTTCATTTCATTTCTCTTCTTTCCTCATAGCGCAGCCTTACCTTTATTTTTCTGATTTTGCAGACTGAGCAGCCCTTGGTTCTTGGGATGCCCGGCATCGTGACTGCGACGCGCAACGTTGGCGCAGGCCCTCGTCCAACGAAGGAATGAATGGACGAAGCTGGAAGAGGGGAGAGACGAAAGCTGAATGAGCCTCAAATGAAACGGCGCAACATGGATGTGCCCCCTCTGACCCCACACACACATAGCCGTTTCACAAGGCGGCACACGCAGCACTGCCGTTTCCAGCGAGGTGAATAGATGGACGACAGGGACTAAGTTACCAGCCTGGAAACGTAAAAGTACATCTATCATGATAACTGTCCACCGAGGCGTGAACATTGGCTACCTAAGACCAGGCAGAGAGCTTTGGTCCGTGCGGATTGTTATGCACAAGCCCGCAATAACCGTTCATTACCAGGCCTCTAGGCTCCATTGCATTGTTCCCGGTTGCCCCGGTTCGTATCCCGGGAGTGTTAGTCATCAGGGGACATGGGTTTGGGTATTACCCATGATCCTTCTTAGTTACCTTATTGGTTATTATTCTGATTACTCTGTTGCGTGGCAGTGCCTTTCCCATTTCTCCCCAAAGGTCTCTGCACACGGAGTTTATCACGGCATGTTTTGTAGTTTTCTAGCAGAACCTGCCGAAGCAATCATCCGAGGTATGCACAAGTCGGTTGTTGCGTGGTACTTTTTATTTCCATCGCCCCTTAGCTTACCTATTTATAGGCCAGCACTCAAGCCAAGACCAAAGACCATTTATACACATGTAAGGTGACCAATCTCAGAACCCGCCTAGATACACTTGATAATGTTCAAAAATGATCTTTTGTGTTTACGTCACCAGCATGAGTGCATTAAACAAAGGCCCCGCCCACCATCCTCACATAACCGATGAATTCTGCCTTGCCCTGGACTTTTGCACTCTCGTTGCTACCTTCCAACAGTGCGGGTATATGCAGTCTGCTTACTAACTTGATAGACAAAATCCGGAGACTACTTTATATTTAAAGTCCGTTTTATTCAAAGCGCTGCGTGTATCGCTTCCCTGCTCATACCTGTCAGATTTGGTAGCCAAGCTGCATGCACTCAGCCCAGTCCGCCGTTGGTCTCCTGATTGCATGTGGTCTTGATGACCTATGTAGGCCTATTCGGTTCTATTACGGGGGGTTATAGCAACTTACAAGGTATGAGGTACGGTCCACACCCAATGTAGACAATTATCCGACTAGAACTGTATCAAAGTTCCATCGAGCGAATATAGCATCTTCAAGAGCACAGCATATAAGCAATTGCTTCACCTAAAAATTTCACCATCACATGACTAGTGCCTTGTAATTCTTAATAGCAATATAAGCCATGAGCGTCATGACACACCCTTACCTGTACTTATTGACATGCCTGCGCACTGCCATCATTGTCCTTAAGTGGAAATCAAGACAATAGAATCGGAGGATGGAGCCTAGTCGTTGTTAGTGGCAGGACAGTTCCTTTGCAATGATAGTGTAGATCTCAAAGAAGTTGAGACTGCGGGAGGACATACAAGAAGACTCGATCTCTTGAGATAAAAGTGAGGGACAACCGGATCAACCAAAACCCCTGCCTGCAGAGATTTGGCCATATCTCATTGGTTTTGCCAACTGTCACCTATTGATTTCTATTTGATAGAGGAGATTTAGGTATAAGGAATAGGAAAGGAAGTACGCTTAATTTGTGCACTTCAAAAGATGCTGGGAATCGCCTGTCAATTGGGGTCGCGACATGAGGGCCTTATCAAGATTCCCAGGCTAAACACTGATCAAAGCATAGACTTCGCCCACCGCTGTCAACGGCACTACCTCTTGCAAAAGAATGAGCTCCCTAGACATCCTCTGTTGGCTTCCTCTTTCACTCGCCGCTGAGGCCAAGGGTATTTTGGCATACAACGTAGCGCAGTGGGCCTCTTGCCCGAAGTGTGGATTAATTGTTTGGGTAGTCGGTTGAAGGTACTCGTGACCAACACATGAAACAATATCAGAAGTTTGGCGTTAATCGGCAAGCTCTGCCCCCTTTTATTGGTGTCTAGTTTTGAGGGGTTTGTTAAGGTCTGCAAGGCAATCCTCGAGGCGGGATTCGCGGTTGATAGCACAATAATAACGAGGAAAGTCTGGTGGAATGCATAGTCCCCGGACTGTGAAGGTGTTCTCATTCAACCCGATACCTGAGAATTCCTCTCCAGCTGCGCCATAGAACTATATGGCAACCATTATAGTGCTAAGCGCTTCCATTAGACATTAAAAAAGTATTTCACGTCGCGTAAATGTTTGAACAGTTGGGTATCGATGAAGAGGAAGACCAAGCTCTTAAGATCCGAGCAATTGGCGAGTCCCGGGACTGGTTTCTAGCCCCTATTAGGGCATGTGAATATCACACTGTTTGCATATTTAGTAAGCTCAAAATGGAGTTTAAATGCGAGATTATTGACAAAATATGTGCATGGACGCGGCGGTCGGGCTGACGGCTGGGGTAATGTCACTCATCTTACTCCTGAACCGCTGTGCCAGTAGTTTGAATGGGGATTGCCCTCCCACGTTTGCCCCGCGACATTTATCATTGCTTAGAGGCGGGCGGCATAGATATCAAATAATCAGTATAAGGCTACAAACTAGCAAGGATTACAGGGCTGAAGACAATGGAAGGATCAGCTCATTTCATCTCCAACTTATGACAAAGCCGCTCAACACAGCTCAGTGTACGCGCTAGGGATGACGTGAAACACGCGATGGGAAATTCGTCGCTCATTGCATGTATCAGGCAACTTGGCTTCTAAAAATATTTGCTGAATGCAGGGGAGCTCTCGGATTACGGCTCCGCTTACCCACAGCGGGATAATATGTTCTCACAGCTCTCGGTATTTAACAGCCAGCATCTGCCGGAGTGTTGTCATGTCGAGTCACAGGCAGTTTGATATACTCGCGAGGAGGCGGCAAATATCGAAATGCGTCTCATTTTCACGGCCTCATTCTTGCTGGCGTTGGCCAAGGCTTGGACCCCCGAGTCCCAAGGTGTGTTATTTCGTTCCTTGATCAGTGGAGCACGGATTGTACTAACGGGTCTTGTAGAAAATGACACTACCGGAGCAAAGGCCAAGCGCTGGCTGTCTGGAGCCAGCAAAATCAGGGGTGTCAATCTCGGCTCCCAGTTTATCATCGAGCCTTGGATGGCCCACGACGAATGGAGCAGCATGGGATGTGCTGATACCAACGATGAATGGGCCTGTGTCAAGAAGTTGGGCCAAGAGGCTGCCGATGCTGCGTTCAAGAAGCACTGGGACACTTGGATAACTCAGGCTGAGATCAAAGAGATTGCTAGCCTGGGTCTCAACACCGTTCGTATCCCCGTCGGCTTCTGGATCAAAGAGGATCTTGTCAAGAACGGCGAATACTATCCCCGTGGTGGTCTCGCTTATCTGGACAGACTTGTCGGGTGGTGCAGAGAAGCTGGTCTGTATGTTATCATGGACTTGCACGGTGGCCCCGGATCTCAATACCCTAACCAGCAGTTCACCGGCCATGTAATTCTCCCACTAGACCATCTTGAAGCTTGTCACAGTAACTAACAATACGCAGGGTGTTGATTATCCCGGATTCTACACAGCTGAGAACTACGAGCGCGCGACAAAATTCCTCGAGTGGATGGCGGAGCGCATTCACACTACTCCGAATTATTGGAACGTCGGTATGCTCCAAGTCATGAACGAGCCAGTGCACGCCTCGGGCTACTCTGCTGAGGCTGCGGATATGATTGCCAATTTTTACCCCAAAGCATTGGATCGCATCCGCGCCGCTGAACGCCGGCTCAACACTGCCGATGCCAACCTTCTCCACGTTCAATTCATGGTAAGATATCTCACCACACACGTATTATCATCCTTCTAATCTATCCATAGGGCGAGGCCTGGGGATCTGGTAACCCGACTGCGAATATCCCGGATACCAAGTTCGTGTCTTTCGACGACCACCGCTACTATAAATGGGACCCCTCTGTCACAACGACGAAGGATGGCTATATTAATGCCGTGTGCAAGGACAACCGTGGCTCGGGTATCATCATTGGAGAATGGTCCATTGCCGTGGCCGACGCCGTTGAGAGCAATAACGAGTTCGGTATTCGTGGACGATCTGATCAGGCAGACTGGTATCGAAAGTACTGGGCGGCCCAGGTGAAGACCTTTGAGAAGTCTGGGGGCTGGGTTTACTGGTCCTGGAAATGCAACTGGATTGGAGGCTTCGATGAATGGCGCTGGTGTTACAAATCTGCTGTCAACGCGGGCGTTATTCCCAAGGACGTAACTAAGGCGGCCTTGCTTAGCCCCTGTTAAGAAACTCCTATCGCCTTCCACCAGATGGGGGAATGATTTATGAGTGAAATATCCCCTTCAATATAGAGCGTTATTCAAAGTACTTCAATTGATCTTTGATTAAGTCCGTTTCATGACTTGAGCATACTCATCCATACGAATGTATAGAGCCTTTTGCATGCCCGGAAGAATTAGAACGTAGCGTGAGCCTTCGTTGTTGCCTCGATTTAAGCCTGCTGTGAGAAGTGTGATTATTTTCAATTTTCATGTGCTGGGGTCAACGAAAGGGCTGCGTCCTTGGGCGCCGCGACCTATTAGATGAGCTTCTACTAACTAGCTAGGTACTCTTTTGCTCAATAGAACGAGTGGCGGGTCATTTACATAGAACCGTGCTGGGAATCGAAATAGGCTGCATGTCACCAAGGTCAGCTCAATCGTTCGCAATGGTGTCGTTCTTCCGTTAGGAAATTTAAATTGTTTATTGCTCTTACATTTCAATGCACGCATCCATATTCACGAGCTTATCAAGTTGAATCTAACCAACCAACAGATGTGATGTGTTGTACCCTCAGCCTTATGCGGAGCATATGCAGGAGGGCCGCCATCTACATACGTGTGAAATTCCAACACAAGCCTATCATTTTTTCAAACTACAGTCCCTACTTCTGCTGCAACTTCTTATTATTCTTTTGCGGAATTGCACAATGCGGGCAGGCGTCGTGTCACTCGACGTTATTTCACTGCGTCATCAACTCGGTTACTTTAATGAGAACATAGGAGGCCCGACAAGGGGCTTATATAATTCAAGTTCCGGCTCGGTTAATTTTTAAATGAACAGTGTTTCCGATCCGACAAACAAACGGGCTTAGGAACCGGGCTTGCGTTTCAATGCGGTGAATTTGTTTTATAGAATGCCTGACTTGACCATAGCAAGTTACTTTTATTTTCGACGTCGAGAAATCCTTTCACTAGGTTCTAAAGGGTGATTTAATTGTTTTTGACCTTTGAAGCTGTATATATCAAATGTAAAGAACAGACAAACACATTTAACGTGCGGTTTGCTGACTTTAACCAATTTTCTCGCTCGATTTAAATCAGAATTCGTTTGTTTTACGTGTGGTTTTGATTGAAGTTTCTGCATATGAACCGCTTGCCTTTGAGAGTCTTATGACACGGTCAGAGTTCTTCGCCTCTTCTAAATTAATCCTAGAATACATATAAAAGGTCATTGCTTTCCCTTGGATCAGGAAGTGGTTTTGCCTTATTCGCACAAATTTCATGTTTTTTTCGTCCAAGATTTTGCTACAACCTACAGACTTACTTAATTTATCTTTTTTTCTTCTGACAGTCATCCACTATGCAAACCTCCGGATTCGGCCGTCAGTTCCATGCTAAAGAGCATCTCGCTCAACATCGAGCGGATAACCGAAAACAGGGCATATCGTGGCAACGAAAAAATCTAGGTCTGCCCCATGCCTCTAAAGTCGACAAAACATCTCAAGATACATCGATATGGAGGGGAATCTGCAGGCGCCAAGTAGTCGGCACTATTTCTGCCTCAGAACTAGATTTACCCTTAAGTGCGGACAAAGTGACAAGCTCACAAGGCTGTGACTTGATCTGCAATTACAACCTGCGAATTGGTGGTGAATTTTGGTTCCCTGGTTAGAGACCTTCTCAATCCTTGCTATCTGGACTTCCAAGCACTAATATGAAACGATAGGTTGTCTTCCAGAGTGGAAGGAAATTCCTTTGCCAATCACTCTTAAGCGAAGTGAAAGAACGACTGACCGGGAGTGGCCCCGCTACTCCTTCGAACCAATGTTCCAAGCAGTGGAGGAGATGAATGCCCAACTCAAGTTTAACGATGTAGATATTATCTGCAATCGCAATTGTCTCAGAAGCTTACTGCGCTTCTGTTGTATGGATTCCTCACAGAGTTTCCAAGTCAACCTGCAATTAGTTTACAATACTTTGTTGATTGAAAGCTATAATCCGCATCCATTTGTTGATAAAGGATTCGGTAGAGTATTTGAAAACGTTTGCAGGAGTTATCCCACTAGAAGGGTAGAAAGCTCATCCCATTATTGCGCTCTACGCTATCCTTTGGGAGAGCTGAGTTGTGTCGTCCGTTGCGAAGTCGACGCTTCTTACAATGACCCGGAAAAGCCGAGCTGGACGTCTAATATTCGGACGAAAAATAAAAATGAAGCTATGAGACGAGCCGGCCTGAATCACCAGTCCACTGCAGCTGAACTCAAATCGACTGCTTCTTCCATATCCCAAAGTAAATGTATGCCACAGCTATGGTTCGGGCGAACTTCCTGGCTTATTCGTGGCACTCATTCGAACGGAACCTTTCACGATGTATCGATCACTAACGCTGGGGCTTCTTTTAATGAGTGGGAAGAAGAAAACCAGACCGAACTGCAGAGGTTGGTTATGGTGCTCAAACAATTGCGTGCCATTACCCGAGATTCTGGGGGAGGTCAATGCGCTGCCATCTTCGAACAGAGATCGAAATCCCGAGAGATCAAGGTCTTTAGAAGGGCTGAGAAGTGGCAGGCGATACCTGAACCCTTCATATTGAAATTCTGGGACTCTTAAATCACTGGATCTACGTGAAGATGCGATAGATTAACTGTGCTAATACATGGCGTGCTGGGGAACGACGCTCGCCTCTAGTTTTCTTTGTGCGCATGCATCTTCTTCCAAATCAAGATATCTACGTCGAGATGTAATTTAGTACAATGAAATTTTTTACTATCCTCATAAAACTTGGTCATGTGAACGTCTTGGTTATTCATTGTGTTGAGATGCCGGGTCTGGCATCTTCATTGCTATTTTTTACTTTGTACTCGAACTCTCTCATCCGTAAACGTCTTAGTCGAGGTCTTACGAGGAGCTCTAGATCTTTACTCTTGCAGCAAAGACTGAATAACCCTAATAACTGCGTTCCCATGTGGCAGAGTTTCTATTAACAATGTGCCACCCATACTTTTTTTTTTTTACATTAGGAGGTTTATAAATCCATTCACCTTGATATACGCTATCGTTATGATAATGTTGAATCATACTCCTTCTAGAGGAAACGTACATATTTCTAGCCCGAACATTCATCAAATGCCGACTTGGGATCCGGAATTTGGCTCAAATCCATTTGATCCGAAGTAACAGCGCGTCTCGTCCAGTTCGTCGACCGTATTACATCACACCTCGTTTCGCGCAAAAGCTGAGAGCGAGAGGTGCTCGGGTCCCTGATATGAAGGCTGAGAGCTTAGAAAATGCGATAGATATGGTGCGCCAGAGTGAAATCGGTGTGTTTCATCCGTGCGGGAGCTGTGGAATGAGGCCCAAGGATAAGGGAGGCGTTGTTGACACCAATCTACGCGTGTATGGTGTTAGAGGGCTAAGGGTCGTTGATGCCAGTATTTTCCCTCTTGTACATGTTGGAAATATCCAGAGTGTGGTTTACGTTGTTGCGGAGAAGGCAGCCGACATTATCAAGGACGAACGCAGACAGTGAGCTCAAGAGGCCTTGGCGAATCGCTGCCTGCCAGAACTGGGAGACCGAAACACGCCGGAATGGGAGCAGCTCCACAGCGATTTTGGATCCCGAGATACGTACAAGGGCAACTAAAGGGAGACGTATTTCATCCAATTTGTTCCCCTTGATATCCACGAGCAACACGAGCCCGGTGTTGGTGGGTTGGCCTGGATTTCATTACAAGGGCCATTACGTACGACTGCGCATATCAACAGTTTTGTACAAAATCCAAGGAAAGCTCCCGAACCGAGGTAGGCTGAGAGCTGAATCAGGCGGGTAGCTGTATTAGCTCTGTGGTAGTGTTACCGGAAACATCATTGGCGTCAATGACATCATCATGAGTCTGTGCCCATGATTGGCCAATTCAACCGAAGCCAAATCTCGATGAGAGATTCCCGGCGTCATCATTACATAAATTGGATGTGGTTTGCTCTATAAAATATTAATTTTACCTTGGGATACCTTCATTTGCACATACAGGTCCAGCCAGTAGATATCTTTAACCCGACATCTGTTCATCTTATACATTATTCACAATGATTCCTGCCAGACAAACCGCTCGCTCAGCAGTGTCCAGGGCCGGGCGCTTTGCCCCGGGTCCTCGCCGGGGCCAGATCCGCTTCCAGTCTTCCTCCACATCGTCCACACCCTCATCGGGCGGCACTCCATGGGCAGCCGGTGTTCTTGGTGGCGTCGTCGGTGCCAGCCTTTTCTACGGGGTTTATTCGTTCACACCGTCTGGTCGGACTGCGTCTAGTTTGAACAAGGCCGTCGTAGAAGCGGAGAAGAAATACCAGGTCGCTGCGAAGAAGCTCCAGCAAAAGACTCCGTCTGCAGACGAGGCGATCGACTCGATCAAGCAGGTGGCATATTCCTACGTTGGCTGGGTCCCCGGAGGGCGATCCTACGTCGACGCCGCGTTCAAGGACTGGGACAAAGTGCGGGAGAACCACAAGGATGAGGCCGATAAAATCATCACCGATGCATACAAGCAATTCCAGGACGTATCCAAGTCTGGACTGAGCCTAGTCACTGCCACACGCGCCTATGAGATTCTTGCCGACCTGACCAAGAAAATTACCAATCTCACAGGCGATGCAATCTCGGACATCCTCGACAATCATCCTGAGGTCAAAAAGAAGTTTGGGGGGAATGTTGATCAGCTGAAGCAGCTGAGCGAGAAATACGGGCCGGAGGCCAAAAAGCAGGTCGACGAGACTTGGAAGCAGGTCAAGGATATCTTCGCCAATGGATTCAGTGAGGATAACATCACCAAAGCACGTAAGCTGATCGAAGAAAAGCTGCAAGATGTCCGCAAGCTTGGTGACCAGGCATGGAACAAAGCACTTGAAGAGGCTAAGCCATATCTTGATAAGAACACCAAGGTGAAGGAATTGGTGGAGAAGAACGCCGACGCTCTGAAGCAAGGCGACGTCAAGAAGCTTTTCGAAAAGGCCAAGTCTGCGGTGGATTCGGGAAACTTATCTGATCTCGAGGGTTACGTGAAAGACCCGTCTAAACAGGCTCGATCATCTGCCGAGTCGCTGACAAGTGGATGGGGCTCACTGGATCAATACTCGAAGCTACTGCCCCATGGCGACGAGGTGATCTCCAAATTGAAAGACCTCAGCCAGGTTGCTGAGAAGCACCGAGAGGAAGGCGAGAAGCTTTTACAAGAGACTGTGGAGGAACTGAAACAAGTTCTTGAGAAGAAATCTAAAAAGGCCCAGGAAATTGCCGACCAGGCTAAGAAGGAAGTTAAATAGGTATGGCATATACTTGCATGTATTATCAACATCATTGGCGATTTAAACAGCAGGATAGTAAATTCAAACATCTTAATGAATGGTAGTGCTCTTCAATACCAATTATTAGGCTAAATCATACAAACAATCCTTAACATGGAATCATCAGTCAGATGTATTTCTCCCGTTTCTGGTAGAGTTCACAGATACGATTGTTTCCACAAAATCCTAACGATCTATGTAACTCCGACGTTTTAGACCCAGGTTGATAAATTTATGTGAGGACCATTTCCAACTTTTCCATATCACCCGAACACCCCAAAGAGGCGACGGTACAGGATGTTCAGGCTCGAGCGGCGCTTGAACGCTGGGGCGAAGGGGCGATTATTTGCGGTAGGAGTTTTCAGTTTATTCTTTCCCTTTATTCGAATCCGATACTTCTAGGCATTTGGTCACGAGTAGACGTGAGGTTAAAGCTGTGCTGTGCCCGGGCATAACATGGGGTAGGGTATATATACTGCTCTAGTAGTAAGGGTTCACCTTTTTTAACCTGAGTATGTGTGCCTGTTGAGATTTTACCTACAGGGGGTGCCCGATCATCATCCGCAGGAGTAGCCGGGAGCCCGAATGCAACCCAGTAGCAGTCCGGGTAAACTATCTCTATAGGAGAGGGTGAATAGCCTGGTAATAATCGGGTGCTTATGGGTAGTAATCGGGAACCCGCTACCGCTGACGATAATCACTTGGTACCATTCAGCACCTGATGACACACCCTTAGGTAAGACCATCGAAACACCTACGGTACCAAGAAGATCGTGATGAGAATTAAACTGGACTATCAATAAAACTTGAGCACGGAAGATCTGCGTTCCAAGAATTGGCGAGTCGGAAATTATATCAATACCATTCCCATATGCTAAAATTTGATCTCGACCAATGGCAGTTACCGTGTCTTGAGACATTTACGTGCCCAAATTCTGGACTTACTCAGCGGCTTCCCGTTCGTAATCGGGATCATCTTAGTCGCTAGTTCGGGTACCTGTTTTCAGCTGAACGTTGTTGCATCTGTGTGGGAGTACCACTAGGAAAGCTTATATTAAAGGACACCCGCCCCCTCATCTGCCCCAAATCTCCCTAATCCTACCATCAGTCAACAAGATCCAAAGATGGCCTCTACACTTCAAATGGACCTGTACCGGACTGGAGCCGGGCTTTTCCTCTTCTGCTGCGTGTGGGGATGTTTCATTCCCACGACGACATACAAGCGGCTAGGTTTGATGGCACATTCACAAGCAGCTTCAATGGGCACAATGGCAATTGCTGCAGGAGTTCTTGTCCAGCACCTTAGCACGCCGCTGCAAGAATGGGAGGCCCGTATTATCTACTGGGGGATATGGGTGTCATGGCCGATGATCTTCACACAGATCGCGGCAGCCTACTGGGGTGCTAACAAGACACTTCCTATTGTTAGTTCCAGTTATTTCTCTGACCAACCGAGTTAACACGCTGACAATTTGACAAAGGCTGGGGAAGCAGCCCCTGGAGCGTCCCCGTGGAAGGAGAACGTCGTTGCAGCGGCTCACATTGCAGCGGTACTCGGTAACATCCCCGCATGGGCAATAATTTGCTGGAGGCTCTAGTTATATCAGATTTGGAATGCCCAATTTTTTGGTGATGTGTTCAAAGATGAAAAGAAATAACAAAGATAATATTCATCAACTATCACATCTGGCTTTTGTCATCGCGAACAGTGAAATCTATCTTCGCTCTGTCTGTTTACCTCCGCATACACCTTCACTTACTTAGTTGACACCAATCGAGCAATCAACCATCAGTCCTTCGTCAGCGACCGACTAAGAATTGCTCTAATCCCGAGGGAATCCTCGTACTAGAACATTCCTAAGAGTTAGGGTTCGAACTTAGCACTTCCACGACGATGGGATGGGAAACCCTCTTTGGCTGGTACATTGCGGAATTCTTGTCGGTATTTTCATTGTTGGCAGGTAAGCTCCTTTATCTTCCGTCTATTTTGGTCAGGCTCTCTCTTCCTCTTGTAGCTGGTTGGTGGAGGATAAGGCTGGCATTATATTGACCATCTCGCTACAAAACATAGAGGAGGGTCCATCAAGAACAAAATATCACGACACACAGGTGACCAAGAAGGCCGACAAGAAGAAAAATGGCTTGGTGAATCGGACCTTTGAGGCTACAAAGTTGGCTCAGACTGTTGAGAGCGGGAATTTAAAAGCACGAGGCACTAGACACCGGTTTCACTATTTAGTTTTCATGACTCTTCAATCAGTCAAGATATTTTATCCCACGCTGACATTCATCCCGCGCTAGCACCAATCCCATGCTCGTTTCCGTGCTACGCGTCCCGCCGTAATCATCCTCATCCCACTTCCACTTATCCCACTTGCCCCATGGGGGTCTCCCCGAAACCCACCATGACGAACAGGATGCAGGAAGCGCAGCCAAAAGTAGGATCAGCCAAAGAAGCATAGAGTGAGAGGTCCTAGTTAGATAGGTTTCAAAGGTATTACAAACTGAATTCGCATTTTAATACTGGGATCAAAAGTGTAGATGACTCCTTAATTATCCCACTTCTTCATTGTCAAATACAAGGGTCCCCCCGGCTGTGTTGCAAATAAGTATGATTTTCTACCAAGAAATTGCAGGTCATAATTCTTTGTTTATAAGCTGTCGCAGAATAAACCTCTCGAGATTGCTCTTCAAATGAATATATAACGGGAAGCTGGTCGTTGTCTAATATCACCTCTCTGCATCAAGCTCAACATTGACACAGCAACCAAGAGTCAAAATCTTCTCAACATCCCAATCTCTTTAAACCCCCAATCTCTTCAACGAAAATGATCGGAAAACTTACCCTCCTCTTGGCCGCTGCAAGTCAGCTGGTTCATGGCGCATTCCCTCTTGTCGATAGAGCCACTGGGAAGATCGAGACGGCGCCTTACTGCCCTGCACGACCTGCTTCCCCCGAATTCCAGCGCGCTGCCTTCACTGAATTTCTTCACCAATTCCTTGAGCAACACTTGGTCAATGAGTCCCTCACAAACTTCGTCAGCGACGAATACATCCAGCATAATCCAGCTGTACTGAGCGGCCGCCAGCCCAGCATTGATGCTCTCGGCGCCGGTGGCCCTTATGACTTCAGCAAGGGCAATGTGACCATTATGCACTACCTCTTCGACAGCCCCTTCGGGGTGGTTCACTACAGAGTTGATCTTCCAGGCCAGGAACCTACTGCCATCACCGACATCTGGAGGTTTAATGGCACATGTATTGAGGAACACTGGGACGTGATCCAGGCTCTTCCCAAGAACGCTACCAACCCGCTTGCGCTCTTCTAGGTCTGTCTGTCTAATACTGACGGCTCACTCACTCGCGGAGAATCGTGCCTAGGAGTTATTTTGTAGGCGAAACTATTTTGGTGGCTAGATGAGAAATTCTCTCAGGGATCGTTTATTTGTACAGAGAAATAGCCTTGCTAGTTAAAAGAAGGCTTAGATCTGATTACTACTTTCAGGACTTGGCCTTTTCGAAATCATTAAGACTCTTATTTTCCTTTCCTAAACTCTAAGCGGTTGCGGGGCAGACCATCGCGGGCACGCAGCAACTCTACTAAAAGTATTCATCGGTATTATTGAAACAGTATTGACCAGTCTGAGGGCTAGCTAGCTAATTAATTTGAATAGAAAAGAGGAGGCTCCTATAAACCTGACATTAATGACTCAAATTCCAAACAAGGCTTGTTTTCCCCTTTGAGCTTGTGCATATTACTGTCCAAATTCGAAAAGGTGGTCGCCCTGCTCAACTGTATATGATCTTTAAAGGCGAGCTTAAGTCAGATCCTCTGCGCCGAGGAGATGGCTGGTTTACAAGATGCGAGAGATTCCTATCAGAGAATGGGAGGCTGAAACCCTCAGTCTGAACTCTGTTGTATCAATTCAAAGATACATATATGTCCGCCAGATCCAGCCTGTGAGAGCAGGGCAGTAGTGACCGGCACGATGACCAGAGCCTACTGATTGAAAAAACGAAGATGACAGGATAATACGGATCATGGTGTTTTCATAACTATCTTATGCGGAAAATGGTTGGGGTGGCATCTATTGCAATCTTCAGCCGTCATGTTATTTATTACTTACCCCGCGCAGATAGGCATCGCCCTGGCCATCGGCACTTTTGTCCGGTTGACAATACCTGCGGCCATTGAAGCCCGAAGCGTGATTTCTCTACCACAAGCTAGTGCTTCATGGGTGTTATGGGTGGGGAGATAACAACTTCGGGCTGACACTGCATAATATCAGTGGAGACGCTGAGATAAAGCTCCTCGGACCGGATGGTAAATTCATGATGTACCTGTTTCCCCCCAATGAATAATAAAGCTAGGTCTTGTCTGACCTCCCCCGCATCTCACCCACCATCCTTTGGCTTCATCGTAGCATCCAGTTAAGACACTCCATTTGTCCACCATGATGTCTTTGTCACAATTGCATCCCTTCGACCCCCTGACACCGGAGGATATAACATTATGTGCCAACATTCTCAGAAACGCTATTCCCGGCGCTACGTTGCGTTTCAAGCGCATCGACGTGCTGGAGCCGGTCAAAGGCGAGACTGTGCCCTATTTAGAGGCAGAGCGAAATGGCCACGCCCTGCCCTCAAAGCCTGCCCGACTTCTATTTTCTTACTTTCACCGTATGGACACGGGCGTATTTCACAAGGCAGTTGTAAATGTCAACGGACAGATTGTGTACATCAAGGAACTGCCCAAGGACATCCAGGTATGAGTGTATCCACGCGATGCAACCTCGAATGTTCCTAGGCATATTGCCTCCGTGCTAACCGAATAAGGGGCCTGCCGATATTGATGAGTTGATCGAGGTTGAGGAGGCATGCATGAAGCACCCGGCTGTCCTGGCTGAGATTGAGAAGATGCAACTTCCCCCAGGCTATAAAGTCTGCAATGACCCATGGATTTATGGCACAGACAACGATAACGAGACACGCCGCCTTGCGCAATGTTACATGTATATCATTGAGGTCGACCACCCCGAATCTAACCACTACTCGCTTCCGTGTGCCTTTTCCCCCGTCTTCGACCAGGTCACCAAGGAGCTAGTTCGCATGGACTATCTGCCTACAGGGGCCGACGGTCAAATTCAGTCAACGCAACCATGGAAACAGGTGAAGGGTGTGCAATACGCCCATGATCTACTAGATGAACCTATCCGCACTGATTTAAAACCTTACGTTGTTCAACAACCCGAGGGGCCATCCTTTGCCATCAACGGAAGGGAAGTCCATTGGCAGAAGTGGAAGTTTCGCGTGGGCTTCAATAATCGAGATGGCCTTGTTCTGTATAACGTCACATTTGACGGCCGCCAGACATTCTATCGACTTTCCATGTGCGAGATGACGGTTCCGTATGGGGGTATGCACGAACGAACTCCTCAAGTACCTGTCAAGTCAAGAGCAGCGCATCCAGCTAACCTTTTCCAGATCCCCGAAAGCCATTCCATAGAAAGCAGGCGTTTGATGCTGGAGATGTCGGGTTCGGCATAACTGCGAATTCACTCGCTCTCGGCTGTGATTGTTTGGGTCATATTGCCTACTTTGATGGATATCGCACCGACTCGAAAGGAAGCCCTGTTCTTCTGAAGAGCGTCATCTGCATGCATGAGCAGGACAACGGTTTGCAACACAAACACACCAACTACCGCAATAACGTGGCTACCGTGGTGCGGAACAGGGAGCTCGTCGTGCAGATGATATGTACTGTGTCCAACTATGAATACATCCTAGCATGGGTTTTCGACCAGGCGGGCAATATCGAGCATGAAGTACGCGCCACTGGCATCCTCTCCACGATGCCTATTGATAACCATGATGGGTTGAAGGTCCCATGGGGCACCAACGTCGGGCCGGGTGTCATGGCTGCTAATCATCAGCACCTATTCTCCCTGCGGATCGACCCGGCAGTAGATGGACACAACAACACAGTGTTCTACGAAGATAGCGTTGCGCTCCCCGTTGATGAAGAGCTCAACCCCTTTGGGGTGGGGTACGTCTCACGTCCGACCGTCCTCTCCAAGGCTGGCTATGCAGACTTGAGCGTACAGAATGGCCGTGTCTTCAAGATCCGCAATGACAGCATTATCAACCCCATCTCTCTCAAGCCAGTAGCATACAAACTCCACGCGGCCCCGAGTCAAATGCTCCTCATGAACCCAAGCTCCTTCTCAAGCAGGAGAGCTGCTTTTGCCCAGCACGCTATCTGGGTGACCCGGTACCAGGACGATGAGCTTTACGCCGCAGGAGAGTTCACGAACCAGAGTCGTGTTGATACCGGTCTCTCTGTGTGGGCGGCTCGGGATGATAATACTGAAAATACAGATGTGGTGCTGTGGCATACTTTTGGGCTAACCCATAATCCACGGCCGGAGGATTTCCCCGTCATGCCCTGCGAGAGGATTAGTGTGATGCTCAAGCCGGACGGATTCTTTACCCAGAACCCGGCGCTTGACGTTCCGGCTAGCACTCAGAAGTTCAACCGTTCTACGCTACATGAAGAAAAGCCGACGGAACCTTGCTGTGCGCCTAAGCTTTGAAGGGTGTTGCCTGGCGAGATTGTTTGCTTCTTCTCTAAATCATCAGTTAAAACGGCTAGACATATTTCTCAAATGCACTCAAGAAAACCTATGAAAATAGTTTGACCATTTCACCTTACCTCTTAGTTGTTTCGATCTCCTGTGCCCGAGGCCAATGGGAGCAACAGCACATTATACTAACCTAGTAGATTTGATGACTCTCACCGACCACCTAGAGAATGTAACCAGAACCAGTATATGCATATAGCTCAAATCTGGTTGAAGTCTGTGTGCTCGGATTGTCTCAAGACAAAGTCTCTGAAACTAATACGACAGGATATCTCGAAATTATTAAACCAGGCGCATAACATCACTAACTACGTCATCTGCCTTGGGAATCTTTTACGATCTCTTGTAAAAGGAAGCAGCTTCTCCAAAGCGCCAATATCATTGAAGCAACAGCACTAGGGAAGAGGCTCACTACCATTTCCCGAGCCCATCATGAAGATAAAATCGGGTCTAGTTTTAGCCAACCGCTCAGTCCGTCGGTAGGCCCAAGAAGGATTTAGCTAGCGAGGCAAAAGTGGATGCCAATTACACCGACTTGCTCAAACATAACCAAACCATTATTTGTCTGCCGCCGAGTCGTCGGTAGCTTCTGGAACAGTGGTTCGGTCAAAATAGGCCCAGCCTATCCGAGAACAGTTCCAAAAACTTGACTTGCATCATTCAGGCGACAGCAATCAGACTGTCAAGATTTGATTTGGGCGCCATTCGCGGCATCTCAGACCCACAGCCGAAAGGATGTTTAACTATATCAGGAAATTTGTTCATGAACCATTGCAAGGGCTCAGGGCAAGGGGCCATAGCGTGCTCGCTACTCAGCTGCTCAGGCCTGCTTTCCAGCCCCCCTTTTCTCGAGCTAGCTGGTTTTCATATGTATATTAGCTCTTCTCGGCAGACCCAGGGTTCCTCCCCTCCTCGGTGTCAGTTTTGTGCTTTGTGTTGTTTGTTTGGTTTGCGTGATACAAGTCGACCATCTCGACTTGCCAACACAGTCTCCTCGTATGGATGAACGCTCGCCCCTGCTTCAGTTCCCAGGAGCTGGTTCCATCGCCGGCGACCTCGGTGATCATCACACACAATTCTGCCAGCTCGTTGGTGTCCGTCCAGTCAATCACCCACACGACGAGCCACACAAACCTCGGCCTCAGTCGCTCTATGGCCGCGCTCTCCAACGCCGGAGCGCCCAGAACTTCACCTACATGTTTACCGCTTCCTTGATCAACACCCTGCTGCTCACTCAGGTGGTTCTTGGCGCCGCCTTGACTGGATTGGGGGCCAGCAACAGCAGCAGAATCCTGATCACCGTATTTGGTGCGCTCAACACCATCATTGCCGGTGTCGTTGCCTTCCTCAAGTCCAGAGGCCAGCCTATGCGTGCTCGCATGTTCCGCGATGATTTGTCCCGCGTGGTTGACGAGATAGAGAACTCGGCTGTCATGTGGTACGGGATCAGCGGCACCGCGCACGGGTATGATGCGATTGATACCGATGAGCAGGTCACCGTGCGCAGCGAGGTGGCCCGCCTCACTCGCCTATACGACAAGGCCGTCAAGACGAACACCATGAACGACCCAGACATGTACTCGGCAGGTGGTATAGATCAGTATTCCGCCGGTCTTAGAAAGAACCCCACGCAGGCCCAGCCCAGTTCCAACTTCATCGCCGCCGTCGTCCCTGCAGAATCCAGCCCTGCTCCTCTCCCTCCCCCGCCTGCACCAGCCCCCGCTGCCGACCCAGATGACAGTCCCGCAAGTAAAGCACCCGAGCCAGCCAAACCCAAGGAAGGAAGCAAACCACCCTCCACCACCGAGTCTTCAGAGAACAGCAACAAAGCCATCACCCCTCCCCCGGCCGAACCCTCGCCACCCGAATCAACATCCGAAGACAAGGGGAAAGAGGCAGCCGTCGCCAGCTTCTCCGCTTCAGCCCAGGCACCACCTCCAACGCCCTCCCCAGCACCGCCGACACCCATGAGTGACCCCGACGCAAGTCCTGCGAGTTTTGGGCATCTACCGAAAAAGGAGGAGTCCAACAAGACTCTTGTCGAGAATGACTAGTCTTGAGACATGTGCGAAATGGTCTCTATGCAACAAGCATGGCCAACAGTTTGACAATATTTGATGTGGTTGCCTATGATTTTTTTGAAAGCGTCAAGCCGTCATGACTTTATACTGGTTTCAAATTCTTGCCGTTAAGTTAAAGATATCCTCACGCTGAAATTGAATACCCAGAAATCGTACTTTGATAATTCTTAATTTCCTGATCCGCGTATCATTCCGGGTGACTAGGTCGTGGGCAATGTCAAATATCGAGTTGTTGACACACCCAAACAATGCACTCCGTAATACAGAAGCATCGATGGTATTACCAGAGGCGGTGCCTTCTTTGGTAGTGTCGAAGCTCAAAACATTTTGATGCAAACGCCTACGTTTCGGTGGACTCTCGTGGTGATTGTCACCGACAACCAAGGTCTTTCAATGTCCTAGCCGCATGTGCCTCGCTGCCGACCTGAAAGATGAAAAGAGTAGAATGTTTCTGTGTCTTGGAAACGGCAGTTCTAAATTATCCAACGGGTTAAACTAGGAGGGATGTCTGCAGTTACTCCGATTGACCTTGTTATTGGGCATATTGCACGTGAAAAGTGGGCAATAATTCACATATGACGCCTACCCTATACCTCACTTTTCGCGCAGATAAAGAGTGAGGGCGTCGCCAACCATGCCATCAACACATAAATTCTATTTATTTGGGAATTTGCCTGTGTTCATCTCTAAAATCATTTCCCGCCTATCATGGATGTATCGGCAGGGTTGGCTAGTTCCAAAAGGTTTACGACTACCTACATCATCGAGCCACTCTCGGCCCATGCACACAGTCTAATCCTAATGCATGGCTTGGGGTCTAATGGAAAGGAATTTGGCTCTGAACTCCTCAAGACAGGTCTCAGCTCTGATGGTCGTAGCTTACCGCAACTACTGCCAGGCGCGCGATTCATTTTCCCAACAGCAAAGCGACGTCGCTCACGCGCCTTCAGCCGTTCTAAATTGACGCAATGGTTTGACATGGCGTCCTTGGATGATCCATCCTATAGGGAGTATACCCAGCTTGAGGGTCTGGAAGAGTCACTTCATCAGGTGCTTGAGTTGCTTAGTGAAGAGGTGGGCAAGGTTTCGGCACAGAATGTTCTTCTCGGAGGCCTCAGCCAAGGCATGGCAATGTCCGCTATTTGCTTGCTTTATCTGGAATTTCCTTTGGGAGGGTTCATCGGCATGAGTGGATGGTTGCCCTACAGCAAAGACCTGCGGGAAGTCTTGAAGAATGATGCCGAAAATAATCCGTTTGGTGAGGACCCTTTCGATGTCCCTGATGGCAGAAAATCGGAAGAGCAAGAGCCAATTCACAAAGCGGTGGACTTTATTCGGGATCTGCTTGGGGGTGACCGCCAGGCTCTTTCGCGGAATGCGCTTGCAACGCCTGTTTTTCTTGGGCATGGCACGGCAGATGAGAAGGTTGCCCCCGAGTTGGGAGAGAGCGCATGCAGTACCCTTCGGGAAATTGGATTCAAGGTCTTGTGGAGGGCTTATCAGGGCCAGGGGCATTGGTACAAGGTTCCCGAAGAGATAGACGACATTCTGGCTTTCATGAGTACCGAGATGAAGTGGCCAGTAGGGAACAATTAATCATTACAATGGGGGTTAAGAATTGGTGATGAGGGCAGGTCATCCATGAACATCGCCTATGGGTGGGATTTAAGCTTGCAGCAAGAGAGTAAAGACGACGTGAAGAAGTGAGATGGTAAATTGATAACGACTCTATTCCCTTTATCCATAAGTTTCTATTTTTTACAGATTCATTTAATTCTTTTTAGCTTAATTGATCCTTCCAAGCTAGTATTTTATTGCCATATACCCCTCATAAACGGCGGACACCTCTCGTCTTTCAAGCCCTGGTTGTGGGGGGACTTTCTGACCTATGCTAGCCTTGAGGCTGATACTTGGATCTATTTATGCTCCTTTGCCGCATGTGCCTTTCGAGACATCAACCTTGAAGCGAGGGGGACGGGCCAAGCAAGTTGATCAGAGGGATCTTTCAAAACCAGCTCGCCTGACGTGATGAGATCCACTGACGCGACAGCAACATATCCCCCGATGGCTGTCAAGACATGCCACCTGTAGGTACCACATATTATTAGTCAAAGTCTGCTTCATGGAGGATAGGAGAAGGCGTACCATCCGTGTAATTCCAAGAGGAACGCCAAGGGCAACCCGACGGAGCGGCGCGTATCAATCAGTACGTTGCAGACGTACTGATCGACAAGCCATACGGAATAGCCGGCGGCAAAGCAGACTGTGACTACATATTAGGGTATCTTCTTAATGACTGGTTGAGGCAGGACATACCGAGTCCAAATGTCGAAATGTTTTGGATAGACTTCCGGACCTGTGGATCAGGACACTGCTCGGGGATGATGCGTCTTGTTCGTGTCACGATTACGTAGATGGCCAGCGCGAAAGTTGTCGCGTGGAGCAGAAATTCGTCCATGACCATGTGGGTGACCATGACGACGGTGAAGAGAATGGTGAGAATGACGCCCACCAATCTCGTCTTTTCGGGGGTGGCGTTGAAGGTGAGGAGGCGGTATACCAGCGGAGTGGTGAGAAGATGCATAGACAACTCATCGGCTGCAGAATATAGGTGTCAGTATGAAATGGATTGGAATTGCAGGGTGGCAGTGAAATCTGTTGGTGAGATGTTGGGATAGTCGAGCACATACACATCTGCGTGTGGTACTTCAGGGTCATGTGATAGCCTCCAGAGCACACGCCTATACCGATCAAGCCATAGTATAAAAGTACAGGGGACCTTGCATTTTTTCTCTGCCGGGTGTAGAAAAGGCCATAGCAGCCGTACAGGACTACCATTCTGTTAGCTCTTGCAGGAATCGCGATGTTTGTTCTGGGATGGACTGACTGAATGTAATACTACTTAGTGTGTTGATGAATTCGGCAATATACCGTGTGACCGCATAGTCCTAAATATTGATGAATGATTAGTTTGCGGGTGGGAAAGACGCGATCCAAGGGATGAGTCAGCAAAGCATACTTCTTCACAAAAGCTGGATGGGAAATCTGATTAGCATGTCGACTCAGGCTATGGAATTTGATGGTAAACAAGGTGGACCAACTTGAGGTACGAGGTTTGAGCACCCCAAAATGGCGCGTGTGATGATGACGTATCCATTTCTGGTTCTCTCCCGCCAGCTCGTCCCAGCCACCCGCAGACCGCTCGACGGTGCAGGAAATTCAATCGGCGTCGCTCCCCGGTGTGCTCTGCTGCGTGTAGGTAGTGTCCAGGGGGGTAGCGCCAGTCTCCGCGCCTGTGTTGGATGCTGGGGCGACGGTTGAAGGAAAAGCTAGTCGAACAAGCCACCTTTCCACAGGGACAGAGTGTGGGATGAGGGATCGCGGACAGAGTCACAATACAATGAACGGGGAGCACAGGCGGGATAAATATTATTAACGCTAGACGCATAATTGGACGGCGCTGTGCCGTGGTTCCGACTCACTGATCCGAGCTCCCCGCAGGCTCCGAGTACGTGGCCGTCAGAGCAAGGCACATGCCAAAAGAACCAATAGTGGATTGATCTTGTCTGTCTTGCCCAGAGACGAGACATGCATATTAATTACGATGGCAGCTCCGAATAAGCAGCGCGTTCGGTCGAGATAGGCCTGGTTACATGCCGATTGGCTGCCTTTGTCTCATCCTACAGGGGCTGATTGGCCTGGATGTTGCAGGGAGACGCCGCCCTGGGTGTGACTTGGGGCCAGATTGCATCTCAGCAGCTGTCCGGTTGCGTGATATCTTGGATCTCTCTCCATCCTCGTCCCTAGGACAATGTAGCTTGGAGACGGCAACAACCACATCAGATAGATATTTACCTCCGGACGTCCCGGACTGAGTCCATTCACCGGCGGCTCAGTGGGGAATTAGTGGTGGAGTTGGCGGTCGGGTCCACTGAAACAACGCATCAATGGCACCCAATCGCCCCACGTTACAGGCCTCCGCGGCCCCCAGCCCAACGCTGTTTTCTCGCCTGTTTGTTTCGATCTTGATCGCTTCGATTCCACTGGCTTAGGGTTAGACGCTTTCTGTCTATCCCCTGACACCAAGCTATTCAGCCGAGCCATCGCCTCCGATTTATATAGCATATTGAAGTAAGCCGATATAAAGCCACATAGACACATTTCCCGTTGACCTGGGATGGGGTGCCGCGGTTTGGCCTTTGGGCTGACAGTGGGCCGCACACTCCCCAGTAGGCACCTGGAGCGCTATCTAATGCCATCACCCACTGGCGGTGTCCAGGATGTCGATGCTACTTTCAACATGGTGAATCTCAACCGTCAACTCTGCGAATTCGATCCGCCGATTTAAGATTTCGGGATGACGCAGGTCGCAGGATGCATGCATGATTTCCGCTATAATGGACCAACCATCAATAATGATTCTACAAGGGTGAACGTGCCGCATTTTTTTGGACGATGCGCATCGTCTTGTCGTTCTGGTTAAATTTCGCCTTGGCTCTCATTGCCAACTCCTTCTGATGGCCCCAAAATTCACATTGAGGAGGGTTCCCAACCAACATGATGACCCTAGAATTAGGGCTTATATAATCAATCCACCAGTTTCTGCATACTGAAATATCGAGATAAGAAGAACATGGGTTATTAACATCACTAGCTGGATACGCAAACACATGCCCATCACTACTTGTGCCGCCTGCTTTCAGCCATAAAAAATCCCCCAGATACTCTTCCAAGTGGTTGTACTTGTCGTTACCCTCCGTTATGGACCACATACCCGACGAAAGCCAATGGGGGACGGCGCCCGAGCTTGAGCCCGATCGCACCTGGAAAGCACCCGAGGTTCTTATCCTTTGCACATCCATCTTCCCTGAAGTTTCTTCCTCAGCCAGCGCTTATGATGTAGCCAACCGCAGGTGGTATGAGCTCAACATAGACACGGTTGTGCGAGATGCAGAAGACTGGATGTCTGATGTGATCACCAAGCACATCAAAGCTTCTCACTCCAAGCATGGGACACTCCCCGACTTCAATGTTATAAATACCACACGTGAAGAATCTACGACGACCTTTGAGAAAAAGCCAAACCGAGTGGTTGCTAGACCAATCAAGGGCAATTTTTGCTATTCTCGGGGCGAATCGGACATTTTGCCCACCACCACGTTCGACCAAATTAAGAATAAAGTTCATCTGAATTGCTCGGCTGATCGTTGCACTTGGGAGGGGATTGAATGTGTGTTTAAACGTGTCGAGTTTCAGGAAGACTTGGAAGCTATGGAACGCGAAATCAGACAAAGAGAGAAGTTGCTTAGGGCGCTTGATGAGGATCCCAAGACAGGCTTCACGACAATCCAGAGTCGTTTTCACGTTTTGCCCATCCTTGCTGTCGTGCTTAAGTCTTCAGACACGGATGAAGTTTTGGGATTGTTGATGCCGTATGGAGGACAGAGTTTGGAAGACCTCGCTGGCAGATACCAGTATGGCATGGGGTACCGCGGCGATGACGAAGATGAGGAAGGAGAGGCCGACAGCGAAGCTAGGAAGACTGACGAAGTTGCTTTGCAACCAGCCTCACTCCCACGGCTGCATATCACAGAGACTCAAATCCAAGCATTGGTGGTAGCTTTGTGGGAGCTTGCTCGCGCCGGGGTTGTTCATGGTGACATTACGGATAGAAACACTCTTTGTATGGAAGATGGGCAGTTGGTTTTCATTGACTTAGGCGGTGTGGCCCCGGATTACCAAGGAGATTCGCATGCCATGGGACTCATGATAACATGGGCGCTTGAGCGGGTGGATTGGGGTGTTCCGACCATGGAACGGGTCCGTAAGGTTGGCCGTTGTCTTGAGAGCATCGCAGATCAAACGTAGCCAGTATCTTATAGACTGGCTTTAGCTCCAAATGGAAGGTGAGAACAGGTTGTAGTGGAGAAATTTGCGATCTAACAATGGTTTCATACTTATGGGATATGCTTGCAGCCTGCGAGAAACTAAAAGAAGGAACAAGAGAATTGGCCAAAGTAGGAAAGCAAATGAAATAGACACCGCATGGATTTATGGAAAACAGAGGACTCAGTACTTTGAAGCTACAATGAGGAATTTGGAAGGAGCCACCTCTTCATGAGATAGCGATCAGTACGCAGCGGATAACCCGTGTATTCTTTCAACTATCTCACAAGTGCAATCGTACATGTAGCAATGAAATCGCCAAATCCTAGACCAGATCACAAATACCCTTATTGCCGTTTCATATCATTATACTCATTCGCCCTATCTTTTCGTTAAGCGGGAATGTCCCTATTGCCCTGGACCAAAGAATAGCAGATATGAAATAGTAAGACTGACTTCAAGATTGGTTCACCTCACCACCATCTTGAAGGTTCAACGCGAGGCAGCGACTCTTATTAGTACTGTCTCCTGTTGTTGCTTCTTTTCAGGTTGCGGCGGCGCAAACTTCTAGGCTTCTTCTTAAAGACCTTCTTGATGGAGTTGACCGCGCCCTTGACCTTGGACTTGGCCTTGCTGACCCCCACCTTGACTTTGTCCGTCTTGGAGTTCCGGTTTGGGTTATAATTCTTCTGGACAGTCGACTTCATCTTCTGGACCTGACCGCTGGCTGCTCCCTTGCTGTTGGCAGGTTTCTTGTTGCTGACGATGACTTTGCCGTTGCGGCCGTGAGAGGCCTTGAACTGGCCGCCGGACCATTTCTTCATGTTCGCCACCACCTGGTTGGCCTTGTGTTTTGGCATCTCCTTGAGGTCTTGTGTACGGGAAGTCTTGGCAAGCTTGCTCCCTGTATACTTCCCCGAGTAGACGACGGCTTTGTGGCCAGGCTTGACGGCAATGGCCTGGGCCACGAAAAGGAAAAGACCGAAAAGCACGGCTTCGAAGTTGGCCACCATGATGGAATGAGCGGTAACGGCCGAGTGCTACGGAGGATGAGAAGGGTGCAAGGATAAGAGGGAAATGATAGCAAAGGAAAGGGAAGAACAGTCCTTTATATGGAGCTTAGCGTAGGGCAAATATAATATGATATTGATGATTTGCAGTCTTGGGTTGCTGGATTTACAAAATCATTTTCAGCGTGCTGGAAACGTCCTTGTTAAGTACTTGGTATCAGATGAGCCGCGTGTACCTCAAAATAGAAACAAAAAATCATGTCACACATTGCACGAAGAGGCCAATTTTGGTTAATCAAATCATCTTACGTTGTGGTAGGTACTTTGGCTCCATGGATCCTCAGCCGAAACGGAGGTATATTGCTTTTTAATGAAAACTACTGCCATCTAAACAAGGCTCTTGGAAATCACGTCACGATCTATTTTCGCCATAGGTGTCGGCTGAGGGGCCTAGGTACGCTTTTGCTAGTAAGCTGATAGTATACAGATGATCCTACACTAAAAGGTATGGCAAGTGAAGTGCGGCACAAATGAGCACAACAGTCAAATCAGATACACGCATTACGTGGCGAAGGATCACGACAGTCCGAAGGCTTGCATGCGACAAATTAATGTTACTAAGCGAATGGGCCTTTTGTCCACCCAGGCAGTAATATTGCCTGTGCTGGCTGCGCTGCTCTCCATCCTCCATCGCACCAGGAGCCAACGAGGCTTGCACCAAGGAAGCACGGCAGATGCAGGTGGTGAGGGGGCGCGTATTTGAGAGCGTCTTACATAAGCCCATGCAGGCTTTGTCCTACAAATGCTCGTTCTAGGACTGCTGGACCCAACGCCGTATCCAGTCGTTACCACCACCACCACAGCCACTGTCGTTCGAGTTTTCTTCCGACTCTCCCACTCTTGCTTCATTGAGACCCGGTTTTTGACTCACGCCAGAACTACGAAGAGCTTCCACCACCTGCAAGACCAAAAGATTGCGAGAATAGTGGTCGCCCAGAGATATGGCCGCCACCGTCGACACCTATAGATTCCATAGGTTCCCAGATCTTCCCCCGGAGATCCGTATACAGATATGGCAAGAGGCCTTGCCGGAAATCCCCGAACCAGCCCTTTTCCCCTTCCAGAAGGGAGGTTGGGAGCCTCAGCCCCTCGCAGAAGATGATGAATACTACAATGAATTCGACGACAGCAATCTCGCCCTCATTTTCGACCACGAACAAATCAAGGGCAGATATTTCATTCCCCTGACCCTCGTCAACCAGGAGGCCTGTGATGTCGCCCTCTTCTGGGCACGCGAGGAAGGCTTGGAAATCACCTACACAAAGACCAAACGCCTCCCAGTCTTTACTCGGCACTTTGACATTCATGATACCCTCTACATCCCCGCTGATAAATGGGACGATTTCATTGATGCCCCACGCGCACGGATGCGTGAAGACGACCTGCTTGAACCTGGGGTAGCCAGGATCTCCTTTACTCTGACGCAGCTTGCTATCCCGGATACTGTCCTCCAGAGGAACATTTCGGCACTTCGTGACCTCATGGACAATTTCGCCCAAGTTAATAGTATCTTGGTCCTCTCAGAATCGGAAATCCCGGATTCTACATCGGAATGCATGGATGAAATACCCCTAGCACGGGGTTACCAAGCACACAGCAACGGTGCATACACCTGGGATAATAGCGTCGATGAGTTTCGTATTGAAGGTTCGCTAGATGGCAAGGATCCCGCGACTAGACTTATGATAAAAGGTGCAGGCAAAGTTGGGCGAGACCTCTCTGATGAAGATACGCCGATATTTAGAGTGCAACGGGCCAAGATTACTGATATTGGCGTGCTTGGTCCAACGGTCTTCACTCCCAAGTCAACACCTGCCACAAGGACCAAGCGTCTGTTGCAATGGCTCCGAAATAAAAAGAAACAGGGGAAGTGAGGGGGGAATAATCTAGGATTTAGCTCTTCTAGCTTGGGTACATTACACGATGCATAACATTTCTTCTTTCTCTTCTCTCCCCTTCCCTCTTTTCCTCTATTGCGCGGGTGACGATTCTTTAAACCTTCTCCGGCGGATAAACAATGAGTTTCTCGATATCAGCACCATGGTAATTCTTTCCGTTGAACAGACCGCCGATGGCAATTTTGTTCTTGCCTTTCTTTAAAGGAAGCAGTAGTGGCGAAGACAAAATAATGCTCTTGTGTGTATCTTTTTGGTATAGAGTGTGGACGGCAGACTCATCATCGTTGACAATAACGCTGCTGATGCGCCGAAGCGTCCAAGTGCCATTAATGCGGTCAGGATTTCCGCCAGCTACATACAGTTAGTATGTAATGTATCATCAAATAGGGAGTTATTTAGCTCTTGGTTTTAATACTCACGTTGATCGCCGAAACCCATGTCGTCGATATCTACCGGTAAGGTGATGTTAGTAAAGCATTCACCTTTAATATTTGGTCTATTATACGTACTCTGGTGGTGGAAGGAGACCCATTGGTCTTTACCTTCCCCATCAACTTCAAAGACGACCTTACTGGTGTTACCGAATATTCCGGTTGCCATCACACCGCTTCCGGCGAAATTCTATGATCAGTTGTCAGGTTAGATCATCGTCATGCGGTAGAATCAGTAAAGAGGGGCACCTACGGCTTCCTGGAGATAAGCGTTACCAGTCGTTTGGGCATTCCTAGCCCAGTATGTCCTGCCTTCTACAGGTTTCCATTCACCCGTTTTGCTTATAACCACAATCAGCTTAGGAAGAGGAAGAAGCAGGGGGAAACCTTACATATTTAAATCAAAAATATTATGCCATACAATGTTCAAAGTACCCTTTCGATCGTCGATTTCCATAGGCAACCATGTGTTTCGGCTCTCTGAGTGGTCGAGTGAGTCCCACTTTTGAAGATGGACAAATCGCGTCAGTTATTGTCATCACCCGGACGTTTTGTATATTGGTGTATCATTCTTAGTCAGAGGCTTTGATGGGTCAACTCACGGTGTCTCCCATGTAAAGGTAAGAAGTCTTCTTAGTTCCTTTGATACGTAATGTGAAACTCGACTGCGTGCTAAAGCTTCGTGTGTAAGGCGGTGCTGCGAGGAAAGGCATAGACCATGGCCCAGCGAGAGAGTCAGCCCGAAAGGCGACGACGTCTGAAATTTGTAAGTTAAACTCAGAGGCAAGGATAGCTAAGTGGAGGGTGAGAGAGACTGACTGTTCGGCCTGTATCCAGTCTTGTGGCTCATGATTGCGTAGTAAGAATGCTCCGTTTGGATGATCGTTGGAGCTTCCAGGTCGAACTTCGGGAAGCGGTAAACAACCTCTTCGGGTAAGGTGACATTACTATTGTAACGAGTGATGTACACATCGCGGCCCTCGACACGATCGCCGTTAGAATAGAGCGCATATGAATGACCATCCTTGTAGTCGGTGAAGATGCCAAAATCTTGAGACCAGTTTCCAAGGGGGGCAATTGCGTGTTGGAATTCGTAGGGTCCCGCAATGTTATCCGAGGTTGCTAGGCCTTGGAGCAGCTTGGTGTATTTATTGTCGTCGGCGTGCCAGTGCATCTGAGCTCAAAACAAAATCAGTCAATCTAAATCCGCAAGCGCGACTAAATTCGATATGGCCTACGTGGTATTTGCCTGTTTCTTCGCTATACACCACCTTGGGCCTTTGAATTCGGTTCCCTGTTGGTGAAAGCCAAGGATGGCCTTCTATCGGTGCTAGAGCCAGACCAAAATGAGCTAAGCGTTCCATTTGTGAGATGCGGACTCGAGGGTGTGAGGTAGCAGAAATGAGAATAGCAAGAAGAAGTATGATAATAAGAAAGATAATGACATAACGAACTAGATGAAGCGTGATTGTAGCCTTACCTAGCGCTAGTCCATGAGACTTCCAAATGGCAAGGTCTTTGGAGCTATATACGGATATACCACCACCCTCGGGATGCTCCGAGGTCTTGTATTCGCCAAACCAGTAGAACGTCTCGGTATCCTGGTCAAGACATATGCCACCTGCGTGGGCATTGAATCTGTTGCCATCAGTATCGTACCAACGAGCTGCAGGAACAATCCACCTTGCGTAAGAAGCTCCCGCTAAGGCGAGAAACGACAGAGTTTGAGAGATAATCATGATAGATATTGAAATGTGTATGATATATTTGATCCGTAGGTCATCTTTCGAGTATAGAAGGGGACATGGCATACGGCTATTTACACATTTATGGAGGTGCTGTTCCTGGCATGCCTGAATCTCAACCATTAATTCGAGTGGCAATATCAAAACCCCGTTTGCCGACTCTTTACACAACTGAGCGAAGCCCCAGCGTCGAACTAGGAGTTTCAATCCACGAATGACAAGATCTGCCCGTAGATTACTACTTGAACGGCAAGCACAATTTCCTCCAATTACCTTTTTTTGTTCCTTGGGACGGAGTAAAGAGAGCGAAGTTGAATAGTGACGTAGAGACAGACCCAGGCATAAGGGTGAAAAAATAGAGTGTTTTTCGGAATCGTGGGTTTGTACATGGGTGGTGCCCAGGATTACCCCGCATGAATGCACGAGCGCTGTCCATTACCCCGAGGTGAATCGTCCGTGATGAATGGCCCGAGATGTGCATTTCTTAACCGACACATACGCCGATGTTGGCAGGCTGGCGAGAACTAAAATTGTGTCGCTTGGCTGCTTGGCACTCTCGGCTTCTGTCGAGGCCGTAAGACATCACGGGCGGTTAGCTAGTAGCACTTTATTAGTCAAATCACGCCTATAGTTTGTTTTCTTTGCTTCTTAAATTTGATACGTATATATAAGAGTGAATAATAAAAAAATTGAAATCATAATTAATAAATAAACATAAACTAAACTAAAATCCTCTAGGTTGGAATATGATCAGGGGACGCCGTGTGTCGAGGCTGGTTTACGTTTTACACATGTATATTATCAATGCCTACTGTACGTCCTAGGTACCAAGCCCCTGAGTCGCCCACAAATTCTCTATGATGGGCATAATAATAATAAATTGATTGATCAGAAAAAATTGAATGTGTGGATTACTTGATCTCTCTCGCAACGGAGGTGAATATCGAATCCGGCTTGAGAAAACGAGGCATCAAACAAGATAATGATATCATGCATTTCCCCCGCATTGGCGGAACATGTTTCCCCGGACACTACAAAGATGAACAAGTTGTCGGGCAATTTGATCACGAGATTAAGGGTGAGTGGCAGGAAGACATGCTCTCGCTGATAGGTTCATGAGAATGCAGGTCGAGTCTCTTTACATTGCCTTCCGTCGATCATAAAAGGAAACATCGCCACATCTTTTGCAGTTTACGGACTTGACCTGTGGAAGCCAATCGGTGCCAGAAACCCCATCTACACGACGCAATGCATATCGGTAGCTTCTTGAAGTTATGGCCGCTGTTGCCTCTTATAGTTGGGAGGGCCAGCGCCAAAACCTGCGAGATTCCTGCCCAAGGGGATAAATCCGGTGATGATTCGCCTGCGATCATCAATGCTTTTACGGAATGCGGGAAGAATTCCGCCATCGTCTTCCAGAATACAACCTATTACATAAAAAGAGCATTGAGCTTCAAAGATCTCGATAATGTTAAAATTGACGTCCGAGGTCGTCTTGAGGTCAGCAGCTGCACTGAATATAATGATGTCTGTTGGGAGAAGAAATACTGACATTCATACAACATGGACAGTGGGGTACCGACATTGAGTATTGGCTCGAGAACTCCTTACCCATTGGTCCAGGGGAAAGCCAAGACAGCTATCCGCCGGCGGCGTATCAGAACCAAACGACAGCTTTCATACTAGGGGGGGAAAGGCTGCATGTGGAGGGGCACGGATACGGTACCTTTGACGGTAACGGCCAGGCCTGGTACGATTTCGTGAATGGACAGTCAAATTACCCAAGTGAGACTCCCCTTCCTTCCGTGCTCCAATGATTATATTACTCCTACTAAGCAGTCAAGATCGCCCTCACATGCTCGTTGTGACGGCAGAAGACTCTTACTTTCACGGTCTTCGTTTTGTTCAACCTCAGATGTGGTAAGTATCATCAGCTGTCGTGAGCTCCGAATAGGAATAGAGGGGAAACAAGATCAGATAGGTTTAACGCCTTCACGACTTTGTTTACTAATAAGATGTAAGGACTGTCACTCTCGTTGGTTCTAAGAATGTCGTCCTAGAGGACATCTTTGTCTCAGCCATCAGCAGAAGCTCGAAACCGGCACGCAATACTGACGGTGCCAATACGATGTTCTCGGACAATATTACCTTTCGGCGGTGGGAGATCGAAAATGGCGACGACAGTATTGCAGCCAAGGCAAACTCAACAAACATTTTGATCGAGGATTGTATCTTCCGCGACGGACAGGGAGTTGCCATCGGGAGCATTGGGCAGTACGCGAACCGCTTTGAAACTGTTGAAAACGTCATGGTCCGCAACGTCAAACAGTATGGATCAAACTACGTAGCTCGGATCAAGACGTGGACTGGCGAGCAGAACGAATGGCCACCGAATGGCGGAGGCGGTGGCATCGGCTGTACGTTTATCGATTATTCTATATCTTTTGCCTTACGAAGACATGTACAAGATCTGCTGACACAAAATGCCGCTCACATAGACGCGCGTAACATCACTTGGGAGAATATTACCATCGAGGACGGCGCCAAGTCACCGCTCATTATCAATCAATGCTACTCCAATGTAGCCAAGGCCAACTGCAGTACGTCTACATTCGACATATCTGACATCAAATACTCGGGCATTAGTGGCACAATCAACACCAGCAGGTATGCCGAGTTTCAATGCAGCAGGTCCCAAGGCGGCTGTGACGGTATTGTCATGGATGATGTTAAGTTCGTTGATGTCAGTGGCGACGAGGATCAAGAGGCAACGGGTATCAAGTGCAGCAACGTGAATGATCCGGAAGGGTTTGATTGCTGATTTGGGTCTTGCTTTGGGCTGGTACATATGGGCTGTAGTTTCAGGTGGAAGAGCATCGGAGGAACCCTGCTGTCTGTCGGCCGAGGTCCGTCGATACATTACTACTTTATTACTGAAACGATGATTCCAAACCAAGACGGCCTAGACTCTCCATTGTCATTATCCTCTTGCTATATTGTGGAATGACAGTTATAAGCTCGCCTGTTTGGCACAAATGTATCATCTCTTTTAGCTTCGAAGGCCGCCGGCCCGGGCTCATCTTCCGTGCTTGCGGATCCGGTCCGGATGATGATTCCGCCAAACACTTCTTAAGCGTAGGCCGGTGTCGGAGTGGAGATAGAGCCCCAGAATATTAATCTAGCAACTCCGCTGGAACTTGTTCAATCCAGACGATTTCTACCTCATGTCGAAGGGTAGCTCTGCGGCAGCACTACGCTTGCTTTCAAGCTGCCAGAAGTTACCAGTAACCCCTCGTCGGACCTTTGTGTTTTCTCGCCCTGTCGCCAAGTTGCCGTCTGGCCTCGCCCGACCAAAGATGAGTGTTGATTTATCAGGCTTCCCAACTGGAGCCCCCAAGAAGCCCACTTCACAACTTCGCTATGCTGATGTAGGTGTTTACTAACGTCTGTTGCCTGGGGCTTGGAATGACTGTTAACCGGATGCTCATATTTCGTCTCGAGTAGGTGGCTGTAACAGCAACGGCCAATGAGTTTGCCGGCATCTACCGCAACAAACAATGCCACCAGCCCGATTTTGCGCACACTCTTGACCGTGCTCGTGCTGCTGGCGTTGAAAAGGTGGTTCTTACTGGCATGTCTCTTTCAGATGTAACCACCAATCTTGAGATTGCTCGATCACGACCAGCCGGATCCTGCTTCGTCACAATTGGTATTCACCCATACCACGCTGCCGAGCCTGGCGCCGACGCGGAAAACTCTTATTATGCCAGGCTTGAAAAGGCAGTTGGCGAGGCCATTGCGGAGACGCCAAGTCTGATTGTGGCATTCGGCGAGCTCGGATTGGACTATGACCGCCTTAACCATGCAGACAAGGAAACACAAGCTGCTGCTTTCAAAGCCCAGCTTGACATGTTCGTGAACAAGAAGTGGGATGTGCCCCTTTTCCTTCACTGCCGCGCGGCGTTTGAAGATTTTGTGGCAGTAATCACGCCCTATTTGGATAAGCTCCCCCGACGCGGGTTGGTGCACAGCTTCGTTGGGTCCAAGGAACAAATGGAGAAACTCGTCGAGATGGGTCTAGATGTCAGCGTAAACGGCTTCAGCTTCAAGGACCGGGAGAGTCTAGAAATGACGGCAGCAATTCCCCTTGGGAGCCTCCAGATTGAGACCGATGCGCCATGGGGCGAGATAAAACCCAGCAGCGACCTGGCCAAGAGATATCTGGCTAATGCGCCTGCACTGCCTGCGAGCAAGAAGAAGGATAAGTGGGATGCGTCCGCTATGGTCAAGGAGAGAAATGAGAGCGTTGCGATTGACCGGGTTGCTTACGTCGTGGCTGGATTGAAGGGTATCGAGGTTGAAGAAGTCGCCAAGGCGGCCTGGGAGAACAGCACAAAGATGTTCAGCTTATGACAGTAGAGAGGGGCGGTCTTGCATGTTCTGGAGGCTAGAGTGATGTGAAATATCTCGCAAGAGAAGCTGGCATTCTATAGATACGAGGTAATTAACATGATTTGTCTCGGCTTGACCGAGCTTCTGTTTCTTATATTCTGTCTATGCGTTCTAATGGTATATAATTCTAAACTTTTCCCAATCTCTGTCTCTATTTCTGTACGAGAGTAAATCATTAATTCTTGGAAGCCTTCTTGAATGGCCTCTTCACTTGTTCCACAAGGTTGCCCAGCACCCCAAACACCTTTCCAAATCCAAAACTCCAGCCCCTGATACGGACAGTGTAGATGAAAAAGTACACCAGCGCCCAGTTGGAGATACAAAAGGCAAGGAAGATGCCGAAATCTATCGAGGTACAAGTCAGACAGCCAATTCAACGCAAATGTGTTCGGGGGATAATTGAAAACTTACTTCTCCATTTCTGGTCCGCGTGGATGTTGAGTGTGGCGAGATATTGATTGCCGCTGGTGAATGGACAGTACATGCAGTTAGACGTGGCTTCCGGATTCAAAAGAGCGCCGCCTGAGATATCGGCAAAACTTCCAGCGTAATCCAGACATGTCTGGTTTGGAGGCGGGTTGAACATGGCTGTCTCCGACGGGTCGCACTGCACTGGTTGCTTGTCGAGGGTGGCAGCAAGAATTCCGCCGATCCAGTATGTACAGGGGTTGACATAATACATCCAGTATCTCCAGAAGACGGGCAGAGTGGCATATGTCCGGACCACGCCGTTGAACAGACCAAACATGACGAAGAAGAATGGGAGAATGTTGGAGATGACTGTGAAGCTGGGGGCAAAGGCGCAGATCCATTGACCCCAGCTGTTCATGAAGAGAAAGATGAGCACCGTCATCAGGAATGTGTACCCAGAAACAGAACTCTCCTGCGGCATGCCGGTGGGCCAATACCAGAGGACCCAGTAGAGGAAGGCGGACACGATGGCTGCCGGAATCTCGACGAGGATGTTCGCGGTACAGAAGGCGACCCAACCGTAAATTCGAGAAGGATACTCACGTGCCTGCCATAGTGCAAGATTGGTGTAAAACTTTGGTAGGACGCCGTTGACAATAGTTGGTGGAACTGTGGCGATCAGGAAGCATGTGAAGACACGGTTTTGCATGTCCAAGATACTGTTTCCGAGCTGATAGAAAGTGAAACCGTTGAAAATACCCATCAGCACGGCGACGAATAGTTTTCCGTAGATGTAGGAGGGGTCGCGCCAATACTGCTTGAACATCCGCTTGGTCAATTCAACAGACTGCAGCCAGGTAGATGCGGCAAAGGTCTTGTGAGCGTCAGCGGAAGCGCCTCCTGCAGCCACTTCCTGTGAACGAGAACTTTTGAAGTGCTCGATATCTGCGAGGACCTGCTGGGCTTCTTCGCTCTTAACCCACTCGTCGTTCCAGTTTACTTTGCTGCCGTCAGCCCTCTTATGCGGTCTGGCAGCCGTCTCCAGAATGAACTCGGCCACATTCTTCCCAGGGGGGCAGACTGCTCCACGACGAGAGAAGTAGTCGATGACATCTTTTCCGTTTTCGCCCACGGGGCCGAAATAGAACGTGTTGCCACCGGGGTTGAGAGCCAGAACCATGTCGAATTGCTCGATGAGGACAGAAGAGGGTTGGTGGATTGTGCAAATAATGGCCTGGCCTGCTCTGCTAAGTTTCTTGAGAAACCGGACAATAGAGTAGGCGGATTGGGAATCCAGCCCAGATGTAGGCTCGTCAAGGAAAAGCAGCAAGGATGGCTTCGCAGCAAGCTCGACGCCGATCGTCAGCCGCTTGCGTTGTTCCACACCAAGTGAGATGATGATGGCATCCTCCAGTTCCTCCAGCTCTAGCAGATTAATAATCTTATCGACATAAGCCAGCTTCTCCTCTCGGGGAATGGAAGCTTCTTGTCGTAAAAGAGCTGAGAATTCGATGGCCTCGCGTACAGTTTGGGTGGTGTCGTGCAAGTCACCTTGCAGACAGAAACCCGTGTTTCGTTGGAAGTCAGGACCAAGAGCTTGGCCATCAACAAGCATGTCACCGCTGACGACGCCGACACTCTGTCGCTGTGATAGAGTGTTGAGCAGAGTGGTCTTGCCAGCACCAGATGCACCCATCAGCGCGACCATCACACCAGGCTTGGCATACCCGCTGACCTTGTTGAGAAGTTTCCTCTCGCTGCCCTGGTATGGGACAGTGTACTCGAGATTTTGCCATGTGAAGATAGACTTGCTTTCTGTGAGCTGGTCAAGTGGTTCGTCATCTAGATCGCGAGAATTGGACCTGGTCGTTTCATTCAGGGTGGCCGAGGAAGACTCCACGGCGGCATTCTCCTCGTCAGCGGGCACATTGGCCTTCTGGACCTTCTTTGTGGCTTTCCAGCTCTTCTTGAAGATGAGAGCCCCGCCGCCGACGCCAGATGCAAAGTTGATTGTTTCGGTTGCGAAGATTGTCACGAGGACATAGAGGACACCAAACGCGACGATAACGCCCCAGTTTCTCCAGAGGTTGGAACGGCTGTAGTCGTACATGGACTGCAAGTAGTCACTGCCCAAGACCTGGTGCGAGCCTATCGTTGCTCCTGTAATGGCGCATCCCTGGTACTCAGGCAAGACTCCGGGCCCCTGCGGTACTAGTTGACTTGGGGCACAATCCATCAGACGATTTGACAACTCATTCGTGAGAACGCCCTCAAAAGCGTAGCTGATTGGGTTGACCCAGTATAGCCATCCGAACCAGATGTAGTCTTTCAGCAGCTGTGTCTTCGGAATGACATAGCCGGTGAAAATGAGAAGCAGGTTCAGCGCCAGACCTGAGAATCGAACAGCAGTGTCAATCTCTGGTGACAGACTGGCAAACATGCGATACATGGCTGTGATCATGACTGTCGTGGTGTAGACGAACAGGAAGTGGATCCAAAACTTGCTGGCACTGACGTCCAGCTGCATCATAAAGTACATGATGATGTTAAAGATGCTGACTTGGACTAAAATCACCGGGAGGTCGAGAAGAACTCTTGCCAGAGATACTGCGGACGGCCGATAGAAGGCATATTCGTTGTGGCGGCTGACGACAGCACGGCCGGACACAGCCTTGATGAGCTCAGATAGCTGGAGCCAACCGAGGAAGACGATCGAGAAGAAGACGGAGCCTCCACGAGAGAATGCACCCTCGGTATTTGTAGGTTGTCCGTAGAACAGTGAGCCTACAATCAGACCATTGGCGACGATGATGAACAGTTTTGTCCAAAGCGCAGTCGTGTCCCCAAGAAGCAACCAGGCCTCCCTTTGGGTGCAAGCCAGTACTTGCCTGTAGAATGGGATTGTGTACGGTGATTTATCCGAAACATGCTTTGACTTGAATTCCTGAACAGCTCCTTCAAACTCTTTAGCATCGGCATAATCAGATTTATGCAGTTCGTCCTTGTATGAAGACACCTCAGCAAGCAGGTCCTTGTAATTCGCAGAGTTGCGGAAGGCCGACTCCAGTTCCTCAGCAGTCTTGGGAGCCCGGTGTTCGAAGCCTGGTCGGAAGCGGCGCTCGTTGGCATCCGTCACAGCGGTCAAAAAGTCGGCGGTTGTTTGGCGCTCCGGACACTCGAACCCGAGATCAATGAAATACTGCTTGGCCTTGTTGGCAGGACCAGAGTAGATTTGCCGGCCCTGATCGATGACCAGGACCTTGTCCATGAGCTCATAAATACCCTCACCAGCCTGGTAAAGGGTCACCAAAGTAGTCCGGTTGCTGACATCAGTCATGATGCGAAGAGATTTGGCATAATCCAACGCTGTAGATGCGTCGAGCCCTCGAGTTGAGTTGTCCCACGCAATTACAGTTGCCTTCGAGGCAAGTGTCTCTGCGATGGAGACTCGTTTCCTCTCGCCACCGGACACACCACGAACGAAGTCATCACCAACTTGGGTGTGCTTGGTGTGGCTGATGCCAAACATCTTCATCAAGGCATTAGCAATGGTGGGAATATCTTTTCGGACGGCTTTCTTGCTCTTGTTCATCAGAGCAAATGTAAGGGTCCTCCACACGCTGAGAGTGGCAAAATGGATATCATCCTCATCGTTGTAGGCGACCTCGCCCCTATACTGCTTCTTTTGTTTCTCGGCTGAAATACCACCATAAGAAACATCTCCCTGGACGCCGGCGAATGAATCCCTTTTGTTGCTGATGGCTTTCAGGAACGTGCTGCAGCCTGATCCTGGCCTGCCAAGAACGAGCATCATCTCGCCATTTCTGACAGCGCCCGTAAAGTCTCGGATTAGGTCTCGCGTCGGGGGCTTGTTGAAGCGGAGGAATGGCAAAAATCGGGACAAGATGTTGTACAAATCTGGACCAAATGTCCCGATGACGGCGTCTGGAACGGTTCTGACAAAGGTTGAGGTACTGCCCACCCCCTTAACAGTGAGGTTTTCGTACACCACTCCAACCTTTTTGAGGGAGCCTGCTGCTTCCGTGCGTTTCTCGAAATGCCCTTCGCGCATGAAGCCCTCCAGGTCGAACTCGTCGTCTCTTTCGGTCGATTCACTGCCGTCATCCTTTTCGTGCTCCGGCGCTTGTGATTTCGTCCGTACTGCAGCAACCCCAGAGCCGATACGCCCTAAAATCCCGCGGCCTTTGCTGGCCTGCGAGTCGACAGTCCGAGTGTGATGCAAGTCTGCAAGGTCACGCCCGAGAGCCTCGTATGCCTCGATGGCATCGTGTTCGTTGAGTTTGTTCACGTCTTGCTCTCCCCAGGTTCCTTCACCGGCGCCGTCTTCGCTTCCAGTGCCGCCAATGCGGCTTTCCTCATCGTCCAGCTGCTGGGATTGGGTCAATTCTCGGTGATGAGGGTGCACCGGCGGTGCAGAATCCCTCACTGTCGCCGACTGGGTTCGGCGAATAGCCTCACCGTCGATTGTGTTTCCCCACATGTTGGGGAAATCAAGCTGAACGGTCGATTTCGCTCTCTCGTATGGCCGGTGGGTGTTGGCTTATGAGGGATTGAGGGTGGCCCAGTTCGCCAGCAAGGAAGAATTTTCAGCTCGCACAGGCAGCTAGACTGGCACGTTTGAGAAGAACGGTTGGTTCATGGGGAAGATATGACTTTTCAATTCACTGGAGATTATCTTAGGAGCGAGGATTTCTAATATCCGACCATATCCCCATCCAATGACAAATTCAACACGATGGCAGATCCATCTCGGAGAAACTTTTCTGGACCCTCAGGATGTGAAATGCAACCCAACTTAATCTGTTCTAGGCCGGAATTAGGAGATAGAACCATAAAGGGGGGTATTGCATCATTCCTCGACCAAGCCCCAAACTCCGGGATTCCGGGTTATCGCATAGCGTATTGGTTGAGAACGCTGCGTATTTGTTGAGCAGGTTACAGAACGATAAGCAGCTCGTGGATTCAACCCACGTCAGAGATTGGTTTGATTTGAAACTGGGCGGGACCATCCTGATGTATGGAGCATATGCAGGCGGCTTATGGGCGAGTGGATTAACAATCAGGCAGCGAGATCCGCGGCAAGATAACATTTTGCTCGCTAGCCAGTTTAGATCTCGCCAATGAGGATACGAGGAGTCAGGGGTCCACGACTTGATTTCTCAGCAGATGGCTTACGAAGGAGCCGGCGGCTGTCGGCAAGTGGATTCTGTATCTTGTGAATAAAATTTCCAGCGCTCCACGGACCACCGAGCATTTGTCATTTGACATTGACTCATATGCTATGGACGAGGATCTTACAACTGAGATAAGGTTGCATGCGTGGCCCCCTGTGAATATTATCATCTGTCTTATCCGATTGCAAAATATAGGGGTTACCGACCAACACAAAATCACCAAGCCCGAGAGGAGACGGGACATGGAAAATGAATCTCACTATGATCCTCCTTGCAACCGAAGATTCGACAGGGACCCTGGGCAAGTCCGTGACGTACGTATGTAAAAGCATGGTAGATCAACCAACGCCAAGATATGTCGATGATTAGAAATGCACGGCGCAACAAGCAGTCCAAATATTAAATTAATACGCAAGATGAATTGTAATTTTTTTGAATTATGATGCTTATTGTTGGCAATCAAAATCTACTCCATTTCGTATCTACATATCAGAGCCTGAGCGCGATGTTTGGTGTGCAGCATGTCATGTAACCAAGTAAAAGTCTTTCTTCTAAACCGTGAATTTGACGCGATACGATGTTCTCTCTCCCAGCACCATGTGTCACGCAGCCAGATATTACTCGACGTTAAGTTCTTAATATTGTATCAAAGCACATCTCTGGAGAGAGGTTCATAGCTTGGAGCGGGCGATGAGATCATCTTTTCTCATATCACAGGATTCATGCAGGAGTCCATGCCATGATCAGCCCCTCGATAGCTGTTGCCGCGAAGCATACACGTGTCTTCGCCATTATCAGCAGTCTTTCGCACGGCTGCGGGTTCGCTCAAAGATGCTACGAAAGAAGCTTCGTTGGTTAAGGTGCCGTTTAACTCGAGTAAGAGAAAAATGAGCACGGCTGTGCCATTCAGCTTGGAGTCGTCCCACTCTGCTTCAAGTCTTGGCATGGGTTCCCCGCTCGGACAACAATGAGGAGGTTTGGAAGGACTCTTCCTTTCTCAGTTCCAACCATGGTTATCCTCCTGGGGTTGGGATTTATCCCGGCTATATACCCACTCCTAAATGCGCCTTATCAACTGTAAAACATTGAAGCTAGAGTTTAAGGAGCTCCAAGATGCACCGCCTTATGCTATTCTGTCTCATACTTGGGGAGACGGGGAGGTTACATTCGCCGATTTCCACCAGACCAGCCGTAGGAAATTGGATGGCTGGAGAAGGATAGCTCTCGCCTGCCAGCAAGCACTACAGGATGGCTTGGAGTACGCATGGGTTGATACTTGCTGCATCGATAAAAGCAGCAGCGCCGAGCTATCAGAATCGATCAATTCCATGTTCAAATGGTATGGCCATTCTCACAAGTGCTATGCCTTTTTGACCGACTATTCGTGTTCGGAATCGATTGACGAGGACTTTACCAAGTCCAACTGGTTTTCTAGCGGTTGGACGCTTCAGGAGCTTATTGCGCCAAGTACCGTTATGTTTTTCGACAAAGAATGGCAATACACAGGAACAAAGGAAGATCTTGGCCGTCAGATTTCTCAAAATACCAACATCGACAAGGAACTCCTTGCCACGACTGGGTTCGATGCAATTCGAAATCGCTTATATGCCTGCACCGTGGCACAGAGAATGTCATGGGCAGCAACTCGTAAGACCAAGAGGGAGGAAGATATTGCATACTGCTTGTTGGGAATTTTTGGACTCAGCATGCCAATGCTGTACGGCGAAGGCGACCGTGCTTTCATGCGGCTGCAAGAGGAAATCATCAAAGAAACTAACGATATGACCTTGTTTGCCTGGCAGACGTCGGACCACGGCGTCTATGATCGTTTTAACGAGATGCATCCTGGTGCCAAAACCTACAGAGGAATTTTGGCTAGAAGTCCTCGAGAATTTAGTATGGCACACCAACTACTTTCGTCATCACATTTAAGCCTCGTTCCAGAATACAGAATGATGAACAAGGGTCTCAAATTATCAAGCGAGGTTGTCCTGAAAGCCATCAACCACGATACCTATTTCATGTCTCCCAACTGTTACACACGCAGTTTAGCCTCAAGACACTGCGGCATATGTTTGAAGAACTATGGCGCCGGTCTATTTGCCCGAGTCTGCCCTGACAAGTTGTTGTTGGAACCTGAAGGCACTCTGGCTAGCCCTGGGGAGATCTACGTCAGCAAAAATCTGCTACCAGCGGAGCTCCAAGCACTCGAGCAACTCTCTCAGCAGGTTTTCAGATTGTCCTACAAATTTGATACTTCAAAATATGTTTGTACCGTTGAAGCTATTGAGCCGCGCAACCAGTGGGTTTCGGCCAAAGGCATCTTCAGGCCGCCTCCAAGGCAGTCCTCCTTCACCGGATATCACAGAATTTTGTGGCAGAGGAAGGATAGTAACAACGTTGAGAACAGGAAATCAGTTACCAGCGGCCGTTTTATGGCGTTATGTGGCTGGAACAAGGGATCCGGGCTGTGGTTTTGCCTGGCCTCAGCTGAAGAGGACCCGGAACTTTACAAGGCAGCTGAGTCTATGGACCTTGAGCTGGCAGGAAAGCTTGGAAATTTAAGCAAAAGAATTAGGACGCCACTCAGATTCCAGTCCCCATCCAACGCGGGGATAACTCTAAAAATAGAGGAAGAGTATGGTAAAGGCATTACGCAGTCTGTTTTTGATGTCCAGGTTTGGCTGGGTGTTGATGACTTTTCTCCTCATAATTGGCAAAACTACGGATATGATGAGATACCAGTCCATTATCTGCAATAAGGGTGGGAAGGACCGAACAAAACCGATTATTTACCAGAAAACCCGAACGAACTGTCTGTCGTCAGATGATTCTTTGGATGAGTAGCGGGCGCAAGGATAATATAGTAACCTGGCTTCTATCATTCAACACGCAGAGCCGATACATGAAAATTCACACAAACAATCAGAGGAAAAAGGGGGTCTCAGATGATGATAGCGTTGTAGCCTTGGGCTGGCAGAGCTTATTTTTGCCTTTTGTATTCATTGTGCTCAGATGTCAGTTCTAGCCTCTTCCATTGCTGTTTGTTACTTTGTCCTCAAACTCTCGCATCCTATAATGATAGTATAAGCAGATTCCTCTAGTTATTAGATCTAAAAGTCGTAAAGCTGGCCGAGCCTGAGATCCTCTACCTGACATTCAGCATTTGGTTCACGTGTGAGCGCACATGGGAGTAACTCACCAGATAATTTAGATCTGGATGGCATATCTCTTTGAGCGACATGAATCCAAATCCCTTCTCTTGAGACCCGATGTGGTAAACTCTCGCCGCCTGTTTCTGAGTTGTTTGTCTCTGGTTTTGGTATCAACCTAAAAAGTTTCAAACCACCGATGTCCGCTCTTTGCAGCCGCGATCGTACCTCTCCTTGAACATCCAACAGTCTTAGATTAATAGCCCGATACCAATCCCAAGATAGACATGAAACGGTTACATCTGTCGTGAGAGGAACTGTCCTTTCAATGAATCTATCCAGCATTGGAAAAATGAAATCGTTAAGGATATCGGCTAAGCCGCTCTCGGAGAAGTCCCAACGAATTCCTAATGCTTGATATCTTCTGCTTGTCAGGTCTTCAGCGAAGGCGATCCGAAGGTATTTCATAGATGGAAAGAGAGGCATTTGTTCATCTTTGGAATGTAAGCCTTTCTTACTGATGAAACCGTCGTCAAAAGGGAGTGCTGCTAGGTCCCAAACCAGTTCCAACGAAGTCATGTTCGATGTAACCGTCGGAGAAAGGATATCTGGAAGGCTCTGATGAAGCTGTAATGATGATATTTGAATTGTGTTTGTGCGATAAAGCACATGAAGCCCTTCCAGGTATCTTTAGGTAGAAGTTAGCAACTTCATAACGTTCCATAACATTCCGGGAGCAAGAACAGAGGCCCTGAACACTTACGCTTGCCTGCAGGTCAAAAGCCAGCCCATAATTCCGATATGGCACTTCTCAGGCCAAGTACCATCCCACTTGTCGCAATACCCAAATCCCTCGAGGCAAAGATCGTGCCCAAGGTCCAGATCACCTCGCCACAGCTGCTCGTATCTACCACTAAACACATGTTGAGTGTCAAGATCCCCAGCCCCCAAGCCAACTCTACCGAGCGATAAGGGTATATTTCCATCAGCACCAGGCCGGAATCGGTGACACACGCACCCAAACCATATCCATTTCTTCGGGATATCCGTTCGAAGGTGCGATTCCTCAAATCCGGCCAGTTTCTCGATCCCAGCGTGCGTGGCATACCCCTGCCTTCTTTCATGGGGGACATATAAAGGGTGCTGGTACTCCAGGCTCATGTGCAATGTTCGCTGACCAAAGGCGCAAACTAGGATCTTGGTTCGTAATTCAGGTGGGAGGCGAAAGAAGCCACCTGTTTCAGCTGACGAAGTCGACGGTATTTCCAAGCTGACCGGCTGTTCTATCGCTGGTTTGATGAAAAGTTCTCTGAACGCCTTCTGCCGGGACTTTTCCTCCCTCCTGCGTTTCCCGTATTTGGAAAATGGTATTTTCTGGGCCGACAAGTAGACAGCTTTGACCGAGAGGATCCCGCAAAACCACCCTGCCATCTTGAACGCTGATTTGACGATGTCAGGGCTGGACCTGATCAGTCCTCTTCTCCGACCCTCATCCCATATTTCGGGTAAGACAAGACCTTCATCCTCTAATATCTGGCGGAAGACAATCGCAAAGTCCACGTTGTCCCGGAAATCGGATGCAGCATCCTCAACGCGATCAGCAGCTTCGTACCCAACAATGCTTTCCAAAGGTCGGATAAATGAAAACTGGACCATGTTCGGAGATAGGTATCCCAGCAGGCGACTAACACGACTTTTGTGCAACCGTTCGTTGATATACGGCCTGGGAGTTGGTGAGGTGAGATGTGTCATACGATGACGAATTGGCGGTAGGGATGTCCAAATGGTGCCTAACACGTGATTGTGATGGCATCCTGTGCTTACCCTGTCTCAGAGACTAGGAAAAAATCAAAAGAAAAGAATGCGACCAGTAAATTTCATTGACGCCTAGGTAAGAGGAAAAACAAGGCACCATTCAAACTCGCTTCGTTGGGCATAAACGAATTATTTCGATTCAGTATTGAAGTTTTCAATACATGTAGAATTTCTAAACTACGTGTTATCCTAACACTCGTTGCACTCAAAATACCTGGATCCTCTCGTACTTTGCCAAAATTTAGCCCTCCAGTGAACAACTTGGGCCAAATCCTGTCAGATGCCTCTATTGTTTGACACAAGTCCGCACACAAACCTGTTGCATTTTGTGCGCTGCCGTTTACCCCTATTTACCATGGGAACTGGAAAGAACCATCGTAATTCTGGAAGGTACCGCCGATTTCCTTGGAAGCAGAATCCAGTGTCTTGAGAATACCGCTGACACTCACATCAACAGTAATGGCCCCGGTCTGGGACGGGTCCTTGGCCGCATTTACCAGCCCCGTTCCCATATCTGTCAGGACCAGTCCAGGATGGAACACAAAAGCAGTAAGCCAAGGCTCCTCAATATGAACCCTTCTAATAAGCCAGTTCAATGCCGACTTGCTGGCTCCGTAGGGGCTCAGCCTGTGCGGGAAGTGGGCGAGCTTTTCCTGGAACCCGATGCTGCCAACGGCAGTTGACATGGCGACGAAGATGGGATTGCCACTCTGTGCCTTCTTCAGCAATGGCTGTGTTGCCTGGAGGAGGGAAATGGGAGCAATGGTATTGACGTTGAAATGATCACGGATAGACTCAGGGGTGGTGTTAAGAACAGTGTTGCCATCGTTGGCAATGCCGGCGTTTGCGATAACGACATCGAGGGCAGAGATTCCGAAATCACTCTGCAGGCGGGAGACAGCGTCGTTGGCATCCGTATCCACTCCGGAGTCCAGCTTGATCACAATAATCTTCGAGTCCTTGCCTCTCGGTAGCTTCTCCAATGCTTCTTTGGCCTTGGCAGGGTCGCGGACAGCGGCGACGACGGTGGTAGAGGGCCGTTGAAGAAGACTAGCAGTCAACCCAAGACCAATTCCGCGGTTGGCACCGGTGATAAGGTAGATCTTGTTCTGAGACATGATGGGGTGTTTGATGATGGATGAGATGGCTTTGTAGTAAATGTTTCCTTTGATATTTTTGGCGCTGTATTGATGTGCTGATTGAATTTGGATAACATCTTGTGAGTGAATTGAGAGAACTTTATATAGATGGGACGAAGGGGCGAGAGAAAGCTACGAGAAGGACTTATGTGTCTACTTCAACATTACGAATTACAAACATGCCTGAACGAGTGTCGTGGCTTGAAGTTTGACCGTGTCGAATGGTTTCCTCTGATGACGATCTGCTTGGAAATCGCCATTTAGATATGTTGATTTGGTCATATTGCCGCTCTCCTCTCGCCGAGACGCATCACATAATTTCATTGTGGCGTCAAATCTACTCTAGCCTCTGCTATCAATGTAGAAGCTGGTTGCGCTAAATTCCTGAACCGAGGCAACTTTGATGCTTTGTCACTGCGAATCGGGAGACATGACAAAATTTGCCCGGCCAGTGTCATAAAGGGTGGGCACTAGGCCGAACAGTCGCAATCTAATCTTGCTATTTTGCGATATGGGCATTTCTCATAATCATGATATCAATAAATTGACCATGGCCTGCACCAAATAGGAAGTTGAAGATAAATCAATCAATATTCTCCAGATATCACGAGCACAGGCCTAAGAGCCTTCTTCCTACGTCAAAGTGCTCCTTGCTGCCAGTCGACCGGCTACAACCACGGACAAATTTCCGCCCCTTCAGTTGGAAAAATGGGAACCACATCTGAAAGACTGGCTGCCTCCCATCGTATGATCGGAATGTCCCGCATGGGAAAGCTCAATATATTAACTGCTAATTATATGGGTAACCTACCTTTTCCCCCATCGCGGATACGATACATGTATCGACTTATTATTTAGCCTCGTAGCCATCTCAAATGTGACCCTCTTTAGTGATTTGCAGCCAGACTGGCCTTGCTCAGTAATTTGGCTGCCACACTTACTCTTTCTCTGGAGTCTAGTTCTTCTGGTCTCCCTCCGCATCCTTCGAGAGTCCCTTGTCGCCTCCATCTCGACCCTTGATACTCTTCCACTCCATCACCAGGGATCCAATGATGATGCTTGCGCTGAGTGCCGCGACCATGATAAAGACGCGGGTGATTGAGGCGTTATATGCCTTGATCACAATGTCGAGTTCGCTTGGTGGAACGATCTTGCGGAGCTCAGTGGCACCTTGGTGCAAAACAGCTTCAGTGTCAAGACCAGCGACCCCAGAAAGCCTCTTCAAGAGCTCATTGGCGAATATGTTTTGGCTCACGGAGACGAAAATGGCACCGCCTAATTGCTGCATGAAAAACAGCAAAGCAATGCCGATAGGGACGTCGACTCGTGGCAAGACAGTCTGCGCTGCTAGGTTGGGGCCCTGGAAACCACATCCCATCCCGAACCCATAGAGGACTTGGTATCCGATCCATTTGCTATGCCCAGAGTTTTCATCCAGTGTAGATAACATTCCGCCGCCCACACTACATAGAATGGGGCATATGATCATGGCCGGGACGTAGTACCCGATACTTTCAGTAAGCTTGGCGGACAAAATCGTGAAGACGACCATCGAGAGGACCAGAGGGATGGTCTTGATTCCGGCATCCATTGCCGAATCACCTTTCGTCGTTTGGAACCAGAGGGCAAGGTAGTACACAGCGCTCATCATTGCTCCCGAAAGTAGAAACATGAACAGCATACCCCCGGCGATGGAACGGTTCAAAATGACACGAGCAGGGACCATTGCCGTGGTTGGTGCCAGCGCCTCCACGACCGCGAAGACGACGAATAAAACGGCAAATGTGACGAGAAGGCCAATCATCCTAGGCTCTGACCAGGCATACGTTGTGCCGCCCCATTGCAAGGCGAGGACGAGACACACCATGGACGGAGCAAGGAAGAATACCCCCAAAGGATCCAGGGCTTTGATCTTTTCCATGACGGTAGGGAAGCTCTTCTGTTTCATTTGATCGAAATTGAAAAGCAACAGAACCACAATAAGGGTGAAACCTCCAACGGGGAGGTTTAGATAGAAGCACCATCGCCATGTTCTGTATTGAGTAAGAGTTAGCCTTTGGTGTTCAACAGCAGACTGCCTTTTGGGGGGGGGCAATAAACCAACACTTTGTCTGTAAAAAGTCCGCCAATAACGGGACCAAGAACCGAGGCGAGACCAAAGGCCATGCCAAAGAAAGCAGCGAACGTAGGTCGTTTGCGAAGCGGTACCATCGGTATCATGATCATGATCCCTCCCGTAAATATACCCGAGGATCCGGATCCAGCGATAGCGCGCCCGAGGATGAAGGCGATCGAATTCGGCGCAGCTCCGCAGATAGCTGAGCCGACCTCGAAAATAATGATGGAACAGACGTAAACCCATTTCGTAGAGTAGATCTGGTAGATGCGGCCGCTGATGGGGAAGAAAACGGCGGCCGTCAGCATGTACGCGCTTCCGTACCAGCCAATATCGTTGATTGATTTGAACTCGTCTGTGATCTTGGGGACGGCAGTTGCGATGATCATTCGGTCCTCGGTTCATGTTAGCTTAGTTGTGATCTGGGGAGGGCATGTAAGAGATTCGAGTGACATACTAATGCGACGAGGAACATCGACAGATACATGCCAATTAGGATCGTCCAGAATTTCAGAGTTTTTGGCTGGTAGTTCTTTTCAGCATCTTCGTATTCATTTGGATTATCCTGGGGCTCAGTAGCCGTTGAATGGATGTCCTTTTCTCCCGGAGAGGGTTCATTGGCGGTTGTGGAGGAAGGCATCGTCGTGTGGTTGTAACGAAGGCTACGTCAGCGAAGAAACAGGATGGTATGAAACTTGCGAGTCGTCACACTATATATTCATTTCCTACGATAACACCTCCGCACTATGCACCATTGAATTCTCAGGGACTCGGAGGCTACCATCTGAGAACTAAGTGCCATCGGAGCGGGTAGGGCAACATCAGAGGCCCGGGGTCATATGATCGGTATTTAGAATTGTCCGGACGTGGCCAGAACCTCACATTAGGGCTACATAATCGATAACTCTATATTGTCGTTTACATCTAAAGCCCGACTGGTACGCCTGATGAGATATTTAATATAGGCAACACCTTGGCTGGAACGTATTCCAGGGGCGAACTGTGCATGCGGTAAGGAGCTACCAGCACCAAGCGCCATGGTACGATCACGCGACTGCTTTGGCAATTTCCTTAGAGCTCAGTTTCTCGATAGCGAGAATGAAATTTCTACCAGCAGTCGGTGCAATCCGGGCCTTGGTTCAGGTTCGGGTCCTCATCGGATTTCTCTAACTAGGTATCTAGTAGACATTAGCATCATTACCAGTAAGCTAGAGTGCTTAACAAACACCCGATACAAACAAATTTCTAGCTTATGGGACATTTCATTCTCCGGCTCAAGATAGGAGGCCCAATCATGCACAAAAGTGACTTGAACATCCTCTGGCCCATGATGTAAACTTTCATCGTACGATTTCTCTGTTCTCCGCCTACTAGATTCTAAAGACCAAGGACCATTTTGCAAAAGATGTAGCGAGATAGCTTGATTGAAATTTGATATTTCCAGTAGCCCTACACCATGGAATCCTCCCGGCGCCTTGACTTGTTAGAGCCCTTCACAGGCTTCACATACAACTCGCCGGTAGCATCTTAATTTCGATTGAGCAATTCATATCTTTGACAACCTGAGGGCTCAGAAATAGGCTCCGATATAATAAGCACATTTTTCATAAGAATCTGGATGACGTGAAAGCCCCGAGCTGGGTGTGTTAATACTCCATGTCCCGTACAAAGAGCTAACAAACTGACCTACGTAGGTTAGACGGCAGACGGTACAAAACGGCTGCCATGTTTTATGCTATTATCGAGGATCTCATTTTTTTCTTGCCCACGCAGTCTGTACAGTTCATCCTTGACTAAATGCTATGTCTTGCGGCTGTTTTCCTACAAGATCTTGTGCTCTGGGAAGGAGCAGTAAACGTCTTCCATGGGAGACTACACCAGAGCCTATGAAGAAGTCAAGGTAGAGCTCTAAATCTTACAACATTTGCGAATCATCACAACGTGGCTTAGTCAGATCAGGCAGCCACCTAATATATGCGGAGCACTGCCCGTATCATATGAATTGATCAGATGACTGTGCATCTTCGCCAGGGATTTCCCCAAAGTCCATAAGCTGATCTGCTCCACTTGAACCTTTGGTTAACACACATACATCAGCTTCAACACGTCAAATAACCCACGTGAAGATGATGTTAACAGATCTCTTGACTAAAATCCAATCATTCTTTCTCAGCGAGAATCAGCGCAGGACCCAGTCCATTAAGGTTGAGCAACATGCGAAGGATATTCTTGTTTATCTCCAGGAAGGCAACTGGGAATCGCTCCACCAACAATTAGTCTTCCCACTCCGCCTATTCATCACCAAGCATGTTCTGGAATATGGGTGGAAGACCCTCACTTCCATGGCCGGGCCAGTGAAACCGATTGGCAGTCCCGAAGTGCACGCTGGTTGGCCTTTGTCAAGAATTTCAGTGCCGTTCCAGTCGGAGCGCCTCTCGCTGGCATTAACGCTCTGGATGACGTGGTCTGGGAAGTTGATCACGCTGCAAGTAGGACCTCGGCTTTCTCATCCTTGGAAGGCCCCGTCATACGCATCTGCCAACTCACGGTCGGTTTCTTTGACATTAGGCCACGGGCTGCGACGGGTGGGTGCGACTTTGACATTGCCACGAGCCAGGAATCCCAGGGGTGAGGGATTTCCCTGTGTGATTCTCATCGGCGGTTCTGGGCCAGTGGATAGGGATTCGACAGTTGGACCATCAAAGCCATTCAAGGACCTCGCATTAGGTCTGGCAGCACATGAGATCTCGGTGTGCCGGTTTGACAAGCGTGCCTCGACGTTGCTCGGGAAGCTCACGATGAGCAAAAAGACGGCCACTCTGACGGAGGAGTACGTGTACCACGTTATAGACGCCATTCGGCAAATTCGACGAATCCCGGAGATTAATCCCGAGCGTATAATCCTTCTTGGCCATAGCCTGGGGACTTTGATTGCCGCGCGACTTGCCTCGCTTGATACGTCAGTAGCAGGCTGTATTCTCATGGCGGCACCTTCAAAGCCGATCTACAGATGCGCAATCAGGCAGCTTAGTTACCTCGAGTCTTCCGGCTCTAGTAACAAGTCAAAGGCCGACGCGTCTGAAGAAACGCCCGCCGAGAGTGACATGTTGAAGGAGCTTCGGCAACAGGCAGATGTGGCCGACAGGCCTGATCTGGATTTGTCAACCCCAGCAAAACAGCTTCCTTTCGGAATCGGGCCTGCGTACTGGCTTGAGTGCCGCACATTTGATGTCATGGAAACACTCAAAGATGTTCGCAGGCCTGTTCTGATCCTACAAGGCGAGCGAGACTATCAAGTAACTGCAACTGAGGACTATGCGAGACTGCATGAGAAGTTTAGTAATCTTCCCAACTTCAGGTTTCGACAGTTCAAGAGCCTTAATCACCTTTTTATATCTGGAGAAGGTGCTCCCACTCCGCTCGAGTACTTCAGTCCAGGGAATGTGGAGGCAGATGTAATTACTGAAATTCAGCGATGGGTACGTGGATAGCTTTACAATAAAAACTGGCCTCAGTATTGGTGATGCTTATCGTTCCCTGATATGAGGAAGGTTCTCAAGCCTACTTGTAGTCATAGAGTAAGAAAACCAAACGTCTGCCCATACTTGCATACCATTTCTCGTGAAGTTATTATACCCTATGCCTGTCTTAGCCATGGGGCCACTGAGAGACTCAATGTTCACCCTTCGGCTCAAGATGACCATGTAGGAAGCGCAAACGCAAGGAGTTGAAGGTTTTGGAACCCATTTTATCAATGCCCACCGAATGGCTTCATCCTATGCAAGTATTATGACAATCTGCCGCGAAAATGCTCAAGGCTGCGTTGATCTTACGCAAGATGGCACGATGGTTATATATTATCATCGCCCCGAGACAGCCACCCGGGAACCCCGCAGTAGTTTATTTAGCCGCTTGGTCTATGACAAGGCAGCGATCTAAACGCGTAGATGGCGGAATTCCGCCCACTTATGGTGGATCGATCTCAAATCTCCCCTCCACGGAACATGCTTCAGTAGTCGATCATTCAATCTCTAGAAGGCTAGAGAAATTTTATTATTCATCAGAGAAGAAATGGCTTGATAGTAATATGCTCTTTGGTCTTGCCGTGCAAATGAAACTCTAAACTGGCACTCCAAGAATGTGAGATTACCAATTGACTGTGTGATGATTACCAAGCATCGCATCATTCATGCGCCATACCAGATAATAAGCAGGAGCTCGATTGATCGTCGACGGTTCCGGTCGTTCCTCTACTTAATCTTATATAGAGTCCGAGACTCCGGATAAGCCCTGGATCTAATCGACATTCAAGCAAGCGACTCAAGACAAGGGAGTTCTCACGCATTCTACTATAACTTTTCGTCTTATACCATCCACTATCAGTTGTATTAGTATAGCAATGGCAGGAGCTAGTCCAATCGCACTGATCCTCGGCTCTGGGCCTAGAGTTGGCTCCTCTATCGCCAAATCACTGGCTGAAAAGGGCTACCAAATCGTTGTCACGTCGAGACACGGCACTGGGGCCAAGACCCCTGAAGGATACCTTTCCTACAAGGCAGACTTCAGCAAACCCGAGTCCATTCCATCCGTCTTTGACGCGATCAAGTCCGAACTCAAAGCGTCTCCCAGCGTGGTAGTCTACAATGCAGCTGCCGCCACAACACCTCCTAACCAAGACTCGGTCTTGTCCCTTCCACTGGACAATTTCAACTCGGACCTCAACGTGAATACGGTTAGCCCGTATGTTGCAGCGCAACAAGCTGTTCTTGGCTGGGAGACTCTGCCTGCCGATACAAAGAAATCGTTCATATACACTGGGAACATTCTGAACATCTCCATTCTGCCGGTTCCATTTGTCCTTACCCTGGGAACGGGCAAGGCAGCCTCCGCATTCTGGCTTGGTCTGTCCGATGCGACCTACGCCGCCAAAGGCTTCCGGTAAGTAGAACCTAACACAAACCCTCTTTCTCACCCAGGGAGTACTCTAACTTGTGTAAACTTTAGATTCTTTTACGCGGATGAGCGCAATGAGGATGGTACCCCTGTGGGCAACAACATCGACGGTCCTGCTCATGGCAAGTTTTATGCTCAGTTGGCCGGCCACGAGCAAGATATTCCTTGGCACGCCACCTTTGTTAAGGGTAAGGGTTATGTTGAATTTAAATAATGATCAGCGATTTTTTGTATAGGAATTGACTGGAATGGGTTTTTCTTGTAATTGTAACTTATTTCGTCGAAATGTCTATGTTGTTAATTGAAGCTTCACCACGCTCGTAATGAATAAATCGTGGGCACCCTAACAGCATACATTTGTACCTCTCCAATTGCTCGCTGGCAAAATATGAATACCTCCCATTGCCTCGTGAATGTGGACAATTTGGCCGTAAGACCAACGTGTCTCTTCGAGTCCAGGGGATACCATAGAAAATGAATGCGGATTGCACTTCATCTCCACATTCTGCAATGGATAACAAATCTTCAAACATTGTGGGATCTCGAACGTTGGGTGGCATGCAAACGGCGTGTCTCCAAGACATAATTCGGCGCTAGGGTGCATGCAAATGATCTCTACGGTTGGTACCTCGCCAGGCTCGAGATATCATTCATCCGTCTGCTTGATTGCTGCAGGCTCTCGGTCGGGCACAGAGGAGTTGGGAGGTGATACGGGAGAACGTGACTTTGATGTTATGCTAAGCCGCCAAGCTGTATGTGGAGAATGTACTATCATTAATGAAAGTTTATGAAGGAAACTCCAAAATTTTATGATTCAAGCCAGGGTGGACTTGGCATTGTTTCAGACGTACGGAGTAAAATTGTCTTAACTAATCTCGGCGTGCGTCACTTCGGGCAACAGATGTGCACATGCTTTAAATAGAATCGAGGATCTCTCACCAAAACTTAGCCTCGCGGTCTTTTATCAGCCCAAACAGAAGAGAACAAACCGGCAGCATCTTGGCAGAGCTATGGTGATCGCCCTTGGTAAGGAGTCAGCGCACAGCCACGTATCAGGCTGGCTTGACCTGAACGCAGGGGAGGGCTGTTGATTGATCTGCGCCCACATATTCGCCGTAGGTAGGTGAAACGAGCCAGCGACCGGCTCGTATTGACGCACTTTAGGGTCACGTCCTTCTTCTTCTCTGCTCTTTTCTTCTGCCTCCCTCGCTGGACCCTCCGCGCCAGCTTTGCACCCCAAATCATCTCCGCACCATGAATTGGAAGGGGCTGCTGGTCACGGCCTCATTAGCAGCCATCCTCCCCTTCTCAAGGGCACAGCAGGACACGAATCCATGTCGGCAGGTAGCGAAGCAGCAGGTCGACGCTCGGGCTAGCGTCAAGCTGGACTACACCAGCGACCAGAAGTTCCTGGTGAGGTTCGACGGCGCGACGGCATACAAATGCATTACTTCTGTGCCTATCGACAATGATGCCGCCTCCACGATGATTGATGTCCTCAAGAGGTACTTCTCTTTCCAGAGCTCAATTGCTTACCTCAAGGATCCTCCCAAGTCATACCAGCAGCTGGCTGTGGATGTCATGGGCCGGTTCGATGAAATCAAGACCAAGATCGGGAACAAGAACTACACCAACCAGTACGAGCTGGAATTGGATATCCGCAGCATTATCCGCGATGCCCACGATGGCCATTTTACCTACAGCGCTGGTATTCTCGGTCTGTTTACCTGGTCGCTCAACGAGTCCATCATTTCCGTCTCACCCGACGACCGGGAACTTCCACAGGTTTTCGCCTACTCTGACATTATCAACGACATACAAAACGCGTCCCCAATTGTCGAATTCGATGGCAAGTCCGTCTTTACGTACCTCCAGAAGTACCTTAAAGAGCGCAGTGATCCAACAACCGTTGTTGATCCTCATGCCGCCTGGAACCGATTGATGCAGAGCTCTGCCAGTGTCCTTGGCAAAACAGGCCACAAGCCGTCAGCTTCTGTGGCATTCAATCACTTTCAGGCCACCCAGGTTTATAATGGTCCGTCACTCAGTGGGAAGTTCGCCAACGGGACCACTTTCGAATGGGCGTACATGGCCGGGTCCAGCACCAACCTGACCAAAGCCAAATTTTTCGACGCCGACGCTATCTATCAAGGGCGGGTGCTCAATTCGGAGTATGACGATGACGAGTTTGTGGTCAAGGCCATTGATGAGAGTTCGAAACCGGTTCAGGCAGCCGAGACCACCTTATCAGTCTCAGCTACAACATCCAATAAGACCTACGTCGGCTACCCTACCAATCCAATCGTCACACAGGTCCAATTCGGGCTCGGTGGTGTTGTATCTGGTTATGTCTTGACAAACGACTCGGTTGGTGTCCTCAGTTTACCAGGCTTCCGCAAAGCAGACGGTGCAAGCCTCGCTTCTTACAGAACAGCGGTGTCTGATTTTATCACAAAGGCCAAGAAGGCCAGCGTGAAAAAGGTCGTCATCGATCTGTCCGGCAATGGAGGAGGTCAGCTGCCCCTTGCCTTTGACATCTTCAACATGTTCTTCCCCTCAACGAAGCCATCCCACCTATTCAGAGCTCGCGCCGTGCCCGAGCTGCTCACTTACGGACGTTTCGTGACGGGAATCACCATGAACAAGAATAACCTGTTCAACTCCAGCACTGTCTCTGTAGTCACGGACGAGTACACCAACAACAGAGTTTTCAATGCCGATTACTTCCGCAAACCTGGCAATGCCAAGTGGGCTTCTTTCGATGAGTTCTATGGCCCAGTGACGATCCATAACGACTCGTTCACAAATAACGGGCAATACGAGTATGACGCTGATGGCTTCAATATTGCCAGACGCGACGACACCTCACCACCATTCAAGGCCGAAGATATCGTCCTGCTCACCGATGGTGTCTGCGCCTCCAGTAAGTCTTCACAATACCCTTTTTTTAATGGCCGGTTGTTAACATGGTGAAACAGCCTGCTTTGTATTCGCTAGCTTGATGAAGACCGGTGCCGGTGTGAAGAGCGTTGTCGTCGGCGGGATCCCGCAAAACAGCCCGATGCAGAGCACATCAGGCACTCGAGGCAGCAACGTGCGAGATCTCTCCTTCGTCAGTGATTCGACTGAGATGGTGCGCAATTTCGCCCGCGGCTTTACCGACAAGCAGATGAAGGGCCTCAACATCTCGAGCGAGGATCTCTCAAACCTGCTTCCGCCTCTGGATAAGGCGCCATTTGTTGTCGGCAGCAGTGCCGGTGTTAATATTCTCGATACTGTCCTTCCTAGTAGCCCCGAGACGCCCCGCCAGTTTGTCTATGAGGCTGCCAACTGCCGTCTGTTCTGGACTCGTGATATGGTCCGCGATATTACGCGACTATGGAGTGCTGCCGCCAAGTACGCCAGTGGTGATGAGTCGGTCTGTGTCTCCGGGTCGGTCGATGGGCCTGGGTCTCAGGTTAATGATACCATCACTGACAGTCCGGGCTTTTCGTACTCTACAATATGGGAGAATGCGAACCAGACAAATACCAGCAACGCGGATGGTTCTCCAAACAATGGTGGGGGAGATCAGAACGAAAAAGACGATGATTCAGCAGGGCAACTCCTTCAGCTCACTCCAATCAGCCTCGTTGTCATGACACTCGCCATTTTACTGGCTATTTAAGACCAGTAGAATGCCTTCCTATGCTGGAGATTTCATCAGACTCAAAAAGTCGCTGACTGGTTTTGCGTTACTTTTAATACCCAACCACAATTTCTCTTGTAAGGAAGAAAGACGGCCACTATATTGGACTAGATGGCTAAACAACAGTTCTTTCAATGCCGAACTCATATAGATAGATATATTATACCACCTCATTTGCATTCAATCAATGCATATAGAATATAGAACCAAGGAACAAATTCGGTCATATTGTTTCTTCTACTTCTCTCTCGCTGAGCTCAGGAACTAGATATTCGGCAACTTATCTATCTGCCCACATAGAGACTAGCAATCCGAGAATTAGTCTCCTTTCTTTTGAATGGCTGGTTCCGTGCTCCTAATTATTTTCTCCTACATACATATAGCCTGCTCCTCGTGCATTTTATTGCTCTGCTACTTGGGATCCTAATCAACAATACACAACTTGTCGATGGAATCCTGCTGGCCCATCCCCCTCCATAGCTCCCAACTGAATAGCCTGCAGATAGGCATTCGGACCATCTTCGTGGGACATTAATTCACCTTGTTTCTGACTCTCAGTAATCAAATCCCTGCCACGAACAAACATGGCCTCCTCGTACTTTCGAACAGCTTGGTGCAGACCCTCAACCTCGTGTGAAGCGATCTTGGACACAAGGGCAAGAGCATCCACCATGGCGCAGTTCACCCCTTCATTCACGTACGGCGTGGAAGCGTGGGCAGCATCGCCTGCTAGTGTGAGGCCCGGGACAGAGTCCCAGCCCAAGGCATCGGGCGGGAAGTAATAGAGCGGTCGAATATGGAATTTCTCGCAATTCTCGATCAGCTTTTTCAGCTTCACATCCCATCCCGCGAAAAATTCCTGAGAGAGAAGAAGGCGGCGGATATTCGATAGATCCGTCAGGTCGGGTGATACCAAGAGAAAGTCTTCCGGAACAGAAATACCAAGGTATAGTCGATAAGATCCATCGCCCAGCCGCTGGATTATCACTTGCTTTGCTCCGTCCAAAATTGCGGTATCGTTAGTGCCGAATTCAGTCATGATGTACTGATACATGGTATTCTTGGGATCTATCCTCGATTCGATGAAGTATTTGCCAGAATATCGAGGTTTGCATGACGTTATCTATCTCTGTTAGACCTCGTAAAGTAGATGGAGGGCCTTTCTCTTTGGGTGTGCAATGCCTTACCGATAGACGCACCCTACTCCATACACCATCTGCGCCAACGACAAGATCAAATCCAGCTTCTGTTGATCCATTTGCGAATTTCAAGACTGGTTTACCCTTGGCACCTAGTTCCACGGCACTGACTCGATGGCCCCAATGTATCTTTCCTCTCGGCAATGACTCTAAAAGCATTCGTCTCAGTACCAGTTGGTCAATCTGAGGTGGCCCTCGAGCTAGATGCCCGTCATCGCCACCAACTTCAGCCCACTTCTTTCCATGTCTATCGTAGATCGCCAGCTTGTCGTCGCCTAGCTTTGCAGATTTGAGGAATTCATCCAACAAGTTGGCCTCTCGCAGCGCTCGCTGCCCAGTGTCCTTGTAAATGTCGACAGAGCCACCCCCACGCTCAAGATGCTTGTCCTCTTCGCCCTTTTCGAAAAGAGCGAAATCGATTCCTCTACATTCCAACAATCGGGAGATTGTCAGGCCGCAAAGACCTGCGCCGACAATTGCAATCCTAGGACTCATTCTGTACCTGTTGTCGCGGTTGGAATATGGGTCGTCCAGCACTGGTGAAGCTGAGTGGGAGCTTGAGTGAGAGCCGGCTAATATAAATGTATCAACGTTGAACCAGTTATCACTCCGGGGAATATGTAATCCTGACCTCAACTAGCACTTTTACTTTACGTATTTGCTCAATTTGCCACAGCCATGATGGGTGCTAGGCTTCCGGCTCGTCGATCTTCCGTTCGATGGCCAGATCGGAAATCGATCCCTACTACAGTTAGCTCTGGCTTCCCTTCAAAATGACCAGTCAATCATTCAATCAGTGCAAGGAAATAGAGTTTGCTTATCCCGGTGCGCTTTTTCTTTCAGGAATCCAGGCTATTAACTCTCTTTGGCAATTTAGCCACACCGACGCGGTGATTCCATCGCCAAACCTAATATGGCTTTGGGGTAGGATTTCAGACAAGCTGGGCGTCATTGATCATTTAGCGTTTTTCTAGTAACACCGGAAGTTGTTAGCCACTGGAAATGTCAATGACGTATTTGCAACTCTTCTCCAACCTGAAGAAGTGTCTAGAACGTGGTATCGTTCCAATGACCCGCATGAAGATGAAAGACGGTGCTGATGGTGTCGAAGGATCAAACTGCTCGATTTTGAAGTTTCAAAAGGAGCCATACGAAACGGTTAAGCCAAACTTAATGCAATAGTTCTCGTGCTCGAAAGGACTCTTCATTGATTGGGGAACGTCTACCTGGCCTGACACCACAATATGTTTAATGGGTAATGAAAAAGCAAAGAAAGAACTCGAAGCCTTGATTAAGAACGTTAGGGAAGTCGAGTCTACGATACATCGCACTACATTTCATGATCCTCGCCATACAAGTGTGTGCGTCGACCTGCTTGGGGAGCAGGATACCAAATGCCGTTTATGTTCAAAGGGTATTGGTTGGTTTGATTGTGTCTTTCTTTTCGAGATCGGGCGCCAAGGTAAGCGTGGGTTTCTGAACTTGCTCGTCATGTCAATTCTTTTGATTTTGGCGGTGACATCGGATCATCATGAAGAGACAGTACGAAAGATCATTCCTGAGATCAGGCAAGCGTGACCATGTCCTGAATTTCAATGGTTTACATATTTAACTAAGCACGGTTGACTTCATCCCTTCGACTTCTGCACTGGAATCTATTGTCTGAGACAATCGCACTGGCCATGCTCTCACAAGATCATGATCAAGAACTGGACGTTTCTCCAGGTGTTCAAGGAGAAGCCGCATGACGGGCTAGACTCGTGGCAAATACATATCCAAAGGTTAATGTGGACGTTGATGCCAAATATTTTCTAGTGAGAAGGAATCGCATTGACTCTATGTACGATTATATATATCATCATTAAATACCAGAGACATCGGTACTACCAGAAGCATAGAACATAGCCCACCCGACACCTCAAAATCATTCTTTAACAGACCCCTCTATGGCCTCAGCTGACACTCCTGGCTGTCTTAATAGTCCTTGGCACCGATCCTTGATGTTGAATATAACCTAAGATCAAGCAAGGACTTTTAAAACCTGTGATGGTCACACTGTCTCACTTGAGAATGCTGCATCAATAATTATCGTGAATATTCCCCCGACTCTTCATAAGTACCTGACACAACCATCCATTCTTACATTTTATGCGCAGAGTCACATCTTTCCTGAAGAATAAAGCTCTTCGTCTCTTCATTTTATCTCGCTAACATCACATTCGCTCCACATACAAATACATGGGAGTGGCTTTCAACGCGGATTATCTTAAAAAGGGCGACTCGGGATAGAATCCCTAGATTAGGCCTGTCTTCCCGCCGTTCACTATTTAGCCTTCAGGTCATATAACATATCTCTCAACTCGGGTTGATTATTCATCTACTAGCCTTAATCAGAGGAACAGTATCTGATTCCTCTCAAAGATGCTTGTCTCAAATATCATGTTGGTTACACTCATGGGTATTGGCTGCGCACTGGCCAGCCCGCTAGGAACCAGCGACGGTCCCCCCAATTACTTCGACTTCTTCAAGCCCTCTAAAATAGGTGTGTATAACACCGGCACTGGCTCTATCGCTCCTGCTCCGGTTGGTGTGGTGTCCAAATTCCCTGGCGATAGGGGTCAAGATACCACCACGCTCCTCACTTTTACGTATCCACCCGAGGTGGCCGGGAAGAAATGCTTCTTTGCGTTCTACCTTGATTCCACAGCTTCGGTGAGCGGGAGTGGTAAACTTGACCTCTTTTCGAGCCTTAATCCAGCTCCAGATATCACCTCAGGGTGGGGGCCTGGCAATCAGCGGGATCAACATATTGGGCGTCTCTCGGCCTGCGTGGGGGATTTTGCGCGTTGGGATGCTATATATGACAGCTATCTGACGGAGGAAACCGATTGTAAGGCGCCCGGTACAGTTGAGGGCTATGAACTTGTTGGGGTGTATGACGATGATTTCGTTTCGTGGAATCCATCAGTGGCAGGGTTGGAAATTCACTATTATAATTAGTTCGAACCGTTGTACGCCCCTATCAACTAATTCAATGTTCTCTCAAATTAATATCTGGAGGCTTCACTCCCGCTCTTTATTACAATCAATATCAAGATAACTGAAAGACTAACCATCGCGATAACAAAAGATGCTGAGAAGTGGAAGATAAAATAGCCACAGGGCTGAGAAAACTCAGCCAGGTGGTTGTAGACAAAACGCCCAGGACTTTGCTGAAAGCTGAACAAGACATACGTAGTTCTTTGGCTTTCCATAACTAATTGATTGCTCCCTCCAAAAGATCGAGAAATCCATACTGATTGTCCACCCCAACCCCCCGAGAGTGATATATGCGAATTTGCTTCCCTGTGCGATTGAGACTCTTGAACTTTTCCGTGATAAAGTCCAGGGCGGCCTGGTCATTTATGCCCTTGTATTGGCCGTACACTTCCGAGAGAGGGCGTGTTTCCAGCTTCTTCCAAAAGGCGGCCAAATTTGACAATACCAGCACAACTGAAGTCTTCCTCAACACGCTGGAGTTGATTATGGAGTCAAACAAGAGTAAAGACTCATCAAGAGGCCTGCATTCGTCCTCAAGAGTCACGTCGTATCGTGATGGATCCGCGACAAAAACCAACGCCGCAAGGTCCTCGAAAACGTGGACCCATCTCTTCCTTTCGGCGCGGTTATAAAGGTCGATGAAGTTCAAGATTTTGTCGCCTTCTTCGATTTGTATTTCGCGGACGAATACTCCGTGGTAAGGCTTCTCGAAGTGAAACCAGTCGTGCTCGGTGGCGCGATAACCGGGCGAAAACACACGCTCCAGGACCTCCATGATATCGTGATCATCTGTGCATGTGCAGGCCAGAAATGAAGGACATTTGTCATCAAGCACCAGGTGCTGCACAGTCAGAAAACTGATTTGGTGGGCGTCGAGCTGATCGTTGAACTTGGACCCGCGAGCAATTTGGAGGACCAACTCTGCTGCCGCTGCTTCATCATACTCCATAAAAGAGTCAATCTCTTGGAGTATCTGCCTGATTGGAGCTATGGAGTCTTCGCTTAGCCGGACATTCGGGGTTTCGCTCCCCTCCAGCTCGTCAAGGGCCACTTTTAGACAACGAATTGCCACATCCAGTACCGTCTTCTTGACGTCCGCGCATAGAGGGCCCTGCTCATCCAGCCGCAGTGGGTGCACCCTCAATCGCATCTGCTTCCATAGTATGCGTTTCTGCTCGCACGAGCCAATTGCTATGATGTTGAGGCGGCGTTTGCGCTCCTCCCGCTCAGTGTCCAGATACTTGTCGATGGCGAGAGATCGCCGCTGGCTCTCCACCTCGTCATCGCTGTCATCGACGCCCGAGCACAGCACGTTCTCCGGGAGGGCCCGAGAAAATAAGCCGCCGTAGATCGAGGATAGACTGGCATTGCGCCTATGCCTAGCGCCCCTGATCAGTCCACTTTCGTCTGAGCTAAACTTGGGGGACGAAGCGGCGTGCGCCTGAGCTTTGCGATATCGCATATCGTCTGCTGGAGGCCGGGGTACGGAGGCTGGTGGTGCGATTTTTTTCGTTATCGCATACGCTGGCTCAACCAGCCACCTGGATATTGTGTTGGCGAAGGATGAAAAGATGGCCAGGTGTCAGATCCTTCGTCGATTGAAGCCTAAGTGGGTTTCACGTGTGCCTTGAGGCTGAACCTGAACCGGGGTCTGGAGATGTGATTACCCTGCATCCATCTTCATACCCCATATTGTCGCCAGGAGAATCCCCCTGAATTCGATTCCTCCCTCGGCGGGGTAGTTGTAGAGCCGTATGATTATTTCCATTGTCTTAGCGAGCTGGCTGCACACGGATAGGCCCATCCGTTGAGGAGTTGTCAAGCCTAGGGTCTCACGCGCCCAAAGATCCAGGGGCAGGTTTATCCGACATGAGATTTGGGCAAATATAATCTCGGCTAGCTCGAAGAAATGAAGACCAAGATTCTTGAACAACCTATTTTAGGAATTCAATGTTACTCTACAATTGAAAGCGAAAGGAACTTCACTGGATCTGATTGAATGAATACGACACTCTCGAATCTACCTACCCAGTCCATAGATAACACCACGTTACTTGATATAAGAATCTGAAAAGACTCAATGATCGGTTGAAATGACTGTATCAAACCAGTCTCGACTTAATACTCTTCATATTTACGTAACAACTATGGGAAAACCACTATGGGAAAACCATCGCCAAGAGGATAAAATCTGCATTTTGCGAAAAACCACTCGCCCCGATTTGATACCTGCTTAGAAAGTCCCTTCATGCTTTGTTTAGCCTTGTGATACCATAAATTTCTCTAAAATCGGACTTACACTGCTGGAGCCGAGTGTCTAGCAAAGACGACAGGTCTTGGGGCAATTGGACCGGACGACTGAGTTTGTATTGCATTTAGCCACCTGTTGGGCGCATGTCGCAGATTTATCGACGCAATTCTTGCGGATTCTTAAGTTGGAGCGGCGCCCCAAGTCGGAGCGGCGTCCTAAGTTGGAGCGGCCTCCCAAGTCAGAGGCTGCTGCGAGCACCGCTGCAGGAAGAAGGAGAAGAAGGCCGAAACGCATGATGATTTAAGTATGCCCGATACTGGTGTCAGGTTGGTTGAAATAGGAAATGTAATCTGGATGAGATGTGTAGATAGATATGAATGTAAGCAAGTAAAAACAGCAGGTGAAATGCTACCTTTTATAAGATAAGTGTAGCTCTCGAGTAATGTCAACCTGGGGAATTCGAGGCAGCGTATATCCAATCGGTTAATCCCTGTTACATTCTCGTGGCCCTTGCTACTACACGCTATAAGATTCCCATACAGTTGTACGGGCTTACTTAGATTGTAAATATAGCTTGGTAGGTCCTTGTCTGATTTTTTTATAATTTATTTCAAGTAGGATCTGACTATACTTTCATACTATCTATCTAACATGAACGTAGCTATCTAATTTTATTATAGACATAATCTATTAATGTTGGAAGGGTTACGGTGATCAATCACTGTGATGAACAAGGTTCGTAGGAATTGGTTGATTGTAAAGGTCATCTACAGCTAGCTAGATTACTCGAATCGGTTATCTACCAGGTTCCTGAGCCAAGTAGCAACCGCTCAGATCCCATGGATCTAACCGGGGATCACCCGTACGGACGCTGTAATGCATCCACAATTAAATAAATATTAATCAAGATGGTGTACAAGTATCTAAATTAAAATAGATAGCTATCCTTGTATAGTTTCAAAGAATAAGATTAGGAATATTAGTGATATATTTAGTAGAATGGCTCCTTTGTGATGAGCATGGATTTCTGTGCCCTTGGATTTCCTCGCTGGTGAGGATACCATGTGTGAGGACACCGTGTGTGAGGACACCAGTGAGGACACCATGTGTGAAATTAACATGCTGAATCATATTTACGTCTCAAAAGAGGCAGACCCCATGCTTACTGTGGACCCTGTGACTGGAGATAACAATAGAGGCAACATTTGTCACTGGCCACGAGTAGTCGTATGACTGGATTTCGGTGTTTGCCAGGGGGAATGGGATCCGCCCCCCTGTGATACGACTCTACTTGGAAAGAGATGGCTGCTTCGTCTTGTCAGAAATGAGTGCCGAGAATATCCTTAGTCTTCTATTCCTGAAGGATTGTAACCTTAGATCCCAGAATATGCACCCAAATTTACGTGGAGTCGTAGAGGGTGAGCAACACAACACACGAAGACTTAATTTTGGTGGTCGTGAAGAAGGCTATTGATGAGATAATAGAGTGTTAGTGAATAAAGATATCTGCAAGGTGTGACGGATAATTATAGAGCTGTTGGAAGGGTACGGTGATCGATCACTGTTAGAAACAAGATTCGTAGAAGTTGGTTGATTGCTAAGGTCATTTACAGCTAGCTAGATTACTTGAACCGGTTATATACCAGGTTCCTGAGCGGTTGCACAAGTAGCAACCGCTCAGATCCCATGGATCTAACCGGGGATCACCCGTACGGACGCTGCAATGCATCCACAAGAGCAGCTTTATACTATAATTTAAAGTCACTTAAGCCTAGAGCAGCCATAGTTTAAAGTGATCATCCGCCTAAATAGAAAACCCGCAACACACCTTAGATAAGCAACATCTAGTGGGAAACTGGGGTTTGTGCTAGGTGTGCAGCCGCCACATTCCTCCATGCGATATGCCCATTCTGATTGATCTCGGGGAAGGGCTCGTCCCAAGTGTACATAGCCCTAGTTGACACCAGTCAGGTTGGTTGGTTGATTCCTATTCCCCAAGTTGCTCAAGGTCTGAGCTACGGGATAGCATTGACCTACTCTAGGTTTAATACCTGGGTTAACTGCGAATCTAATATAGATGGAGGAGTTTGAAGACCACCCGGTGGGTGCCTGAGGTGAACTAATTCAGGAAGATGCCCGAAAGTGTACCCGAGAAGGTACCCGGTTGGTATAGTAATCCCCATGTCGGGAATAGAGGCGCATAGCAATAGAATGACGCGGATAGAGGCGTATAGCAATAGAATGACGCGGATATAGTGTACGATAATGGTAGCAGAAGGATAGTAGATCACGCGAGGAAGTCTGAAGAAGAGGTGTGCGTAAATCTAAGGAGGCGCAGTACCGAACGCCCTTAATCTGACAACAAACTTCGGTCTGAAAGAATTGCGTTAAGAAGAAACCTCGATCTCTCCATCCTTCAGAGTAAGCCCCAGCCCGTAGATCAGCTGCCATTCGTCGTCGCCATGGGAAATCCTGCAACAGACGATAATCAGCTCCCTTCCTATGAGCAAGCTACTCAAGTAAACTCTGGCCCAACGCAACAAACTAGCTCGCATCATGAGACCTTATCTACTAGGTTTGCTTGCATCACTCTTAACCAACACGACCGGATCCGCCTCATAAACTTTCCAGCAGACACCGTGAAGAGCTTTAAGGGTTTCCTTAAATCAGCGTGGCCCAAAGGAATACAGGAGGTGCGCGACTATGGTCAAGCGCGCGAGTTCAAGCTGAATGGCAACCCTTGGTACCGAGGCGCTGATGGCTCTTTGGGCCCTGATGATACTTCACGTCTCGTCAAAAAAATGTTGGAGGCGTTGTACAATATGGGATGGGTGTTTCAGTCTGCGGTAGATCTTCGAAAGCAGGGAAGTAAAGGTTGTTTTCTCCCATCCTTCAGCTGTGTCATGTCTCTCTCTAATACCTCTCCTAGATGTCATTACCTTCCGCCGCCAAAACCCGCCACCACCAAAAAGTGAATGGATTCACATCTCATTTGATAGTCACGATAGGCTAACGTTCTTGGAACCACCCTCCCAAGAAATCAGGGACGCTTTACTGAAGGCGTTCGACAGCGCCGTGAGCAAACATGAGCTCACAAAGGACCATTTTGAAATAAAATTCCAGGGCTTTCCATGGTCACCATCTGGTGAGGATACCGTGAATACGCCTGTAAAGTTACTGCAGCTTCTAGAAACGATGGAAAGGTTCGGGTTTTCTTTATACTCGAGTTTGATGACCAAGAACAATCTCGAAGGGACGGATGTAGATGACATAGTTATGAAGCGGCAAATATAGTGAACACCAGGTTCTAGTATTCCATATGTGTTGCAACACACCGGATTGTGAGGGACATTTGATTCCTATATGTCTACCTGCTCCTCTTCGTCGGTCTTTCCCTCGGCATGTTCCATCATACGGGATATGATCTCTGTGATATCCTTCCAAATACGTTTGCGATTCTGCAACCCTTTGAGGTCCTTCCAATTCTTGACAATCTCGAGATATAGCTTATACCAGTTTGTCTTATCGTATGGTAGTGACACAAGCTGCAACGCCTTGCTTTCCTCCATACACGACTCCATTCCCATCTTGTATTCGTCCGTGTCGTACCAAGGTTTTGCTGCAGGGGAATTCTTCATCCACGTTTCCAGATCGTCTGTTTCATTGGTTCGCAGCGTTTCGATTGTCTTTTCCCGTATCTTCTCGTACTCTTCACCACGTTTCGTCAGCGCTTGAAACCGGCCAGAATCAATGAGTGCCCATTTGTATGGATGGGCATCTTCACTCCATGCTTCATATATGAAAGGGAGCTCCTCCACTAGAAGCCAATACCATACTGAGATGGGTAAATGACGGAATCCGCCCGACGACAGGCGCAGAAGCGCAATGTCCTTGGACCCGAGATAGCCAACAATTGCTTGCAGTATCTCGGAAGGTAACCTCAGGAAAGGATCCGCATTTGAAGACTTGGCTAGGTCGTCATGGCCAAGAAATGGACTTCCTTGTACGCTGAAGTCTTCAGGGACTGCGCCAGCTGTATCGCAGATCTGCTTGAAGGTAGGAATGAAGATGGGATTAGCAACGAGATACTCGGCACCTCGATTGTATCGCCAATCACCCTCCTGGAATGAATCAACAACGTCGTCATTACGCTGACAAAATGGTTCCGTCGTTCTTTCCGGATATTTGCAGTGGTAATCACGGAGTCATTAATTCTTCCGTAGCAACGCGGCCGAGGGCTTTGATGCTGGCCCTTCTAAACAATTCGAAACAAGCCGGATGGAACGGGAGACCAACCCAGATAGCCACTTCCTCAGACTGCAGATAGTTTTGGAATTATTAGCCAGCAGAATACCATTGGAAGATGAGCTTGGAAAAGTACATACCCTGAGCGTGTAGTCACAATCATTCGCCGCCGTCACCCACTCGCTGGTTCCATGACGCACGGGAGAGAAACGGTTGCTCCAAATTGGGTCCAGCCCTCGTGCCAAGCCTGTGAGGCAACAAGATGAATATGCCTCGAAATCTTGGTCATCGTCAAGAGGCTCCCAGCCGTCAATCTTGCGCACAAGACACTGCACAGTTGAACACTCCCTCATCTCACCAACTGATATGTGATTGCCGTTGTAACCATCCAAGTACTCGCAATCTGGGCCAGCGATATGCTCGTAGTCGCATCGAAGGTCATTCAGAGCCTTGATTCCTATTTCCCCGTCGTCTAAGTCTTCAACGACAGATAGTGGCTTAAAGTCGATGTCAAGATCCTCAGTGCTTGGGCCCAATGGAGATTCCAGTGCATGGAGATTATCTTCTGAGCTCTTGAATTTCTCCAGGCTGACTTCACTCAATTCAGGGCCGTATTCTGAGGTATCACTCCTTGGTTCACCTGTGAGGTCAAAACACAGTTCATCCTTACTTGGGCTGTCGATGGCATGAAGTTCTGAATCTGGCCTTTCTCCCGCCAATCTTGGTGCTTCAGATCCGCGATAAAGAACTGAGCAATCGTCACCACAAGGTTCATGGTCCCTGGCATTGCTTCCAACCCATGTGGTCCCGTGCTCGGCTGAGACAGATAGCCAGGCTGCGTCCCGTGGCTCTCTGCGAGTTCTTATGCGGCTAATATTGAACACAACTCCGCATAGCTGACAGTAAATCTAAGGATATTTTTTCGTAAGTCTCAGATCACACCGCCGACCAGACGTAACCTCGGTTCCGAAATGAATGTACATACTTCGCGACCTACACATCGTACACATTCAGTTCAGCTTTCCGTCAACAGGTCATAATGCATTAGGAATATCCTACCCATAACAACATCTGGTTACTTCGACGGGGGATAGTCGACCGTCATTCTGTCTTTCGACACGTTGCTTACTGGGAAGAGGGGGATTGGGCGGTTGAAGAGGAGAAAAACCATCCAACAGTCGGTGGGGCGGTCTAATGGCCTCCATTCTACAACAGGACTAAGCTATTGAGCATGCAATATGGCTTAAGGTTGTCTAGTGAAAATAGGCGGTCTGGTTTATTCAAAAATGGTCGGATCAAGCGTTCAGTCCGTCCAAGTATCAGTTCTGCGTGCAAGTGTGTTTGTTCAACCACCATCTAGACCACGGACCAACAGCCTGCAGGGGCCAAGCCCACGAACCCCGGGATAGAGGCATTGTCCCCGCTAAAGGGCCCTCTGATGACTCTGGAGATGGGCCAAAGTCCACTTATTACAGCGCCGAAGAGGCCAAGGGGACTTGGCAGTCTCTGCGGGCGAGAACCCGATGGAACACTCACGCCCCTGAGCCAGACACTAAGCGGCTTGTTCGCACCACCATTAGCACAGAGTTCGTGGCTTTTTCTGATTCTCCAGGACTGGATACAGGGCAATGGTCCAGCTCTCCAGCGTCACCCCTGGGCGAATTCGATGCCGGTCAGCCAAGCGCCGTCAACATACACCCATTATAACCAGGTAGAGATCACCGTGTATATTGTGTCGATGAGAAATTGGTGACAATCTTATCAATCTAATCAGATCGACTAAATGCCTCGAGGTACGTAACATTTTTCTCTACTTCACATCTCTACTGCATGTACCTGTACAGTTCCACTGGGGCTCATCCATGTAACCTGCAGACAAGCCCGCACTCGGACATGATCAGAGATGCAGTGAACGAATAAAGAATGGCATTGTTGCGTCAACTGGTCGGTCATTTGGGTGCTAAGCCGTTATATGAGCAATCCTCTTCTCCACCCGCTCCGTCATGGCATTTCACTCACCAACAGACCAAGCCATAGGTATATATTAATACGGCCAGGACCATTATGTTCTCCCTCAACACATCCTGCCATTCATCCCTTCAAGCACCTTTCGATGCACCTTATTGCCTCTCAATCCAGACCAGCGATTCTCTATCGATTCATCCGCACAGCAAAATGCCTAGGCTCGCACGTAGAGAGCAGGTCTCCTCCCAGTGGACATTTAAGCAGACAGATGACCCGGACGAGGCTTGGCTGCCTGTAGCCCGTGTGCCGACTGTCTCGCACATTGATTTGATTGACAATGGCCGGTGAGATTCCCAGAAGCGCATGCAGGATCCTCCTCTCCACCCCATTTTGGCTGATCGACGTCTTCGAGAAAACAGCATTGCAGACCCATTCGTCGATATGAACGAACTGGACGTGGAATGGGTCGGTGAGAAATCATGGACGTATCGCACCTTTTTCTCTAGCCCTGAGCTGCTCGCCGGCGAGTCCGTCCATCTCCTGTTTGACGGTCTCGACACGTTCGCGACCGTCAAATTGAACGACAAGGTCATTCTCACGAGCGACAATATGTTCCTCGCCCATAGGGTGGAGGTCACGTCACTGCTTGCTCCGGAGAGTAATACGCTCGTCATTGACTTCGACAGCGCGTTGCTTCGTGGGCGGGAAATCGAGAAGCAGCACAAGGAGCATCGCTACCTTGCGCACAACGGGGAGTCGGGACGGCTGGGCGTGCGAAAAGCGCAGTATCACTGGGTATGTTTCTGTATCAAGTTCGAATCAATTCCCCCTTTATTCTAACGAGTGAATGCCTAGGGATGGGACTGGGGCCCCGTGTTGATGACTGCTGGACCGTGGAGGCCCGTCTCTCTGGAGGTGTCCAGCGCCTTCATCCAGGATGTCTCAACCAACTATGCCGTTCGGGAAGATCTGAGCTCTGTGTCCGGGACAGTCAATGTCGAGTTTGATGGTTCAGTCGACGAAGTTCGCGTCTCGATATCCCACCAGGGAGCTGCGGTGGTCACCGCATCAAACATCCCGACGGATTCCACTGCAAGCATTGCCTTTGAAATTTGTTCGTCAATAGCCGTCACATCCCGCTACTATGCAAGAAAAGGTACTAACTCTAGCTACGGCAGCTGCACCTAGATTATGGTACCCTAAGGGGTATGGAGACCAAGCAATCTACGACGTAGAAGTAGAGATTATCAAAGACCAAGTCACTATCGACCGGTCGGTGAAGAAGACAGGCTTCCGTCGGGCAGAGCTTGTCCAAAATGACGACAAGCATGGCGAATCATTCTACTTCCGGGTCAACAATGTCGATGTCTTTGCTGGCGGCTCTTGTTGGATCCCAGCAGACAACTTTCTCCCAAGAATCACGCCGGAGCGCTACAGGAACTGGGTCAAATTGATGGCGGAAGGAAACCAGGTGATGGTGCGGTATGTTTCATCTCCCCAAATCAGCCATGTATCAAACACATGCATCGCTAACACTATCATGAAGAGTATGGGGAGGCGGTGTGTACGAGGACGATTCGTTTTACGATGCCTGCGACGAGTTTGGCGTCCTTGTCTGGCAGGACTTCTTGTTCGCATGCGGGAGCTACCCAGCATGGGAGTCGCTCCGCGAGTCTGTCGACAAGGAGGCGAGGCAGAATCTCAAACGGCTCCGGCATCACCCCTCCATAATAGCGTACTGCGGCAACAACGAGGATTACCAGACGCAAGAGTACTACAAGCTGGACTATGTTTGGGACAACAAGGACCCAGAGTCATGGCTCGAGGGCACATTCCCCGCTCGCTACTACTACGAGCATCTCCTACCCAGGGCCGTGGCTGAAGAAAGTCCCGGCGTCATTTATTGGCCCAGCTCGCCCTTCTCTTCCAAGGGTAGGGAGGCTAATGACAAGAAGGCGGGTGATATCCATCAATGGAATTGTGAGTGAAGAACCTGTATGATCCTTCAATGTCTTAATCACAAGCTCACCTTGTCTGAAAGTTTGGCACGGGTACCAGGAGAAGTACCAGTGCTTCGACAAAAACGGCGGCCGTTTCGTCAGCGAGTTTGGTCTCGAGGCATTCCCCCATCTCTCTACCCTCGAGTCCGTCATCACCAACCCTGCCGAGCGCCACCCCAGCTCGCGCACAATGGATTTCCACAACAAGGCCCACGGGCACGAGAGACGCATCGCCACGTACATTGTCGAGAACTTCCGCCCCGCAAGCGACCTCAGGGGCCACATCTACCTGTCCCAGCTGATGCAGAGCGAGGCTCTCCATTTTGCGTATCGAGGATGGCGGCGGCAATGGGGGGATGAGAGGTTGTGCGGCGGCGCTTTGGTGTGGCAGACGAATGACTGCTGGCCCACGACGTCGTGGGCCATTGTCGACTACTATCTCAAGAAGAAGCCTGGGTTTTACGCCATCGCTCGGCAGATGCGGCCAGTCAATGTCTGTGTCCAGCGTGAGCATCATGACTGGAGTGTTGGCCACGCGAAGCCGGCGAAAAGGTCTCCGTTCGACGTGTGGGTGGCAAGCAGCCTGCGGGATGAGGTTCGCGGCGATGTCGAGATTCGGTTCATCTCGATCCAGACCGGAAAGGAGATCAAAGAGAAAATACGCAAGTCCGGTGTGGTATTCGTTCCCAACGGGACCACGGAGGTTTACTCGGGAGAAACGGACAACGAAAAGGAAGAGCCTCACGTTATCGCGGTTCGTCTCCTTATAGACAACAAGGTGGTTGCAAGAGAGGTGGATTGGCCTCAGCCATTCAAGTATCTGGCGTTCCCTGATCGAGGTGTTACGGTTCAAGCTTCGGAAGGCTCCTACATCGTCTCTGCCCAGCGTCCCACCAAAGGTCTCGTCTTTGATGAGGTCGACGGGATTATACTGAGTGATAATGCCATTGACATCGTTCCGGGTGACACTCAGGTCATCTCCATCACTGGTGCATCGAGGACCAACGCTGCTCCTGCGTATCAATACTTGGGGCAGGAGGAGAACCTCAAGCAGATCGGGGCTCACCATCTGTAAGGGGTAAACATAGCTAGCTAGTGTCGACCACACACCAACTTGGGCTCAACAATATCAATTCTCGACTTTCGCCTGTAGTTGGACTTTTGTGCCGTTCGAGGACTCTTGTTTCGTAATGTTTCGATGGAAGTTATAGGGAGAGTGATAACAAAAAAAGATTTGAAGCATTACAACGGTCGGGAAGGAAACTTTGTAGCTGTGAGGCAGTCATGCTTCGATGCAGGCATAAACCAAATAAGACATTACTCAAAAATAAGAACTATCAGATGTTACGATCCTCCTATTTTATCACAGGTGCAGTGCTCTTCTACTTTAAATCAAGTTGTGATCTAGATAAATTCATGTTCCTTTTTATGCTTGATCTAGGGTAGCCAATGCTTAGAGGTACAGGGATCCGATCCGAGAGTCTTGAAGGTCTAGACACGTGCGGCGTAAATTCGAATGCTACGTGAGCCACTTTTCTCATGTTACATTGATCACGCACTCGGATTCCGTGGATTCCGCGATGTGGGGGGATAAACCGGAAGAGACGACCGATGGCTGTCTGGCGCTCAAATTTTCACCTACTCGTGTCGAGGATGATGGAAGATGATGTTGCGAGGAGAGAGGAGAAAGAGAGAAGAAACAGCATGAACAAAAAAAGATCTACGGCACTTGTAAAGTGGGTTTCATTAGTGGCATGTTACTCCCACCCCTCTTCCTCTACCGGGGGCTTGCCACCGGATAGATCATCTGATAAGATGATGATAAGATTATCTCGCCTCGAGGAGGGATCACACGAGAAAAGAGAATTTTTCAGCAGCGTTAAAGAGGTAATAATGGGCTATTGTCAGGCATTATGCTGGAGATCACCTGCCTGTTTGGAAGGAATACGGCATTAGATGGACATTAGTCAACCTTGGCCTTGGACTCTGGGCGGCAGCTGAAGCCAGGGAAAGCCAAAAGCGCCAAGTGAGCTGGAGCATCCCTCTGATTGAATCCGTCCTGCCGCAGAAGAGTGACGTGACTCGGGGCATTCAGGACTTGGCTGTGACGCGGGTGGCGGCCAAGGGAAGGACCCGAGCGCCTTGGCATGCATTCTTGGCTGTTCTTGGCCTGCCACTGCGAGCTGTGCCCCCTGTGAAGTATCAATACCTCGCAAAATGAGGCTCGAAGGTCTCTATACATCCGTACGTTTTGTTTGGTGACGATGCGATCCAGTGGAGCCTCATGTAGGATGGAGGGTAGCAACGAAACAAAAGTGCGGTAGTATAGGTTCCGAATTCGGAGACAGGTACGGACAAGGTGATACGCGATGAACCAGATTGAGCTCTTTGTTGAGGGCAATGTCAGATTCATTGGCTATAGGTGGAGGGAGTGGGAGTTGGGGAGCAATGCCAAGGGAGGAAGCGGGCGCTTGATGCTATCTCGGCTGATATATCAGGAATCCATCTTTGCGGCAGGTCCTCGAAGCCCACAACCCCCTCCAAGTGATCATTAACTTAAAGTTCAGCCCATCAGAAATCATGGCTGAAGAAAAGCGAGTCCTGATGCTCACGAATGCCGAGCTAGGCCAGGCAAACATCTTTTTGGCTGTCAGCCATGAACTGGTCTGTCTTGATCCCTCACTGAAGCTGCACATAGCTTCATTTGCCCCTCTGGCGAAACATGTCAACTCAATTGGCATC